AGCGCGCATCTCCTAGGCAGTAGCGGCGTGATGGCGGCCAACATCAGTCTCGAGGAACCGATCGGCCAGAGGTGAGCGATATAAGGATGTCGTCGATCGTTGTTGGGCTATCTAAATAAATCGATTTAAAGGCTCCCAATTATCGAGATGATCTTAAATTGGGTGGATCACGAGTGGTGGTGTGATATCGATAGGCTTGTTTCTTCTTGGTAACTTAAAAATGAGGACCACCTTGAGAGGGTAGTGAAAAACTTGAGTGACTAATCATTTTTGACCAGGTAAACGTCTGTGAACGCCTGACAATTGACATGAGTCATTTGAGATTTACATATTCTCAAACCAATTTCTTACGGCGTAACTAGCAAACGAAGTCACACTTAGAAATCTAAAAGTTCATGTTTATCAAGAAATTTGTTATAATATACTATTATTTCGCAAATAATAATCGGCTATGATATCGGCATCATGTGGCAAAAAAAAAAAAAAATAGAAGATATTTTATAATGAACCTTGAATATCAGAATTAGATTGCCTACGACATATTAGGTGAAAATCGTATTTAATAATATCGTTATTTAACCAATAATATATCTCAATACTTTAATCATAACCGATATATATATAACATAGATAGACAATAGACTCCGACACTAAAAAAAAAAAGGTTTTATATTCTCTTTTCGTTTAACAAAATAAGTAACACTTAAAGAAATATTGATGCAGATATTTTTTTTATAATTTTCAATAACGTTTATATTTATAAAATAAAACACATCGATAAATATTTAGTAAAAGATACAACACTACTTTATAATTTTTTGAAATAATAAGAATTATATTAAACGTAAAAATCATAATAAAAATCAACTTGCATTCATTCATTTATTATAAATAATTTAGTTTATAGTACCAATATAGTTATAATATAATAATATATTTAAATTAGTCTAATTACTGTGTATCATATTAACGAGTTAATAAAAACAGTTAAATACTAGCGATAATCTTGTTAAAAGGGAAAGTAATTAAGAGATATATTAAAAATGAGTCAGAAGATAATTTTTTCTAAGAATTTAGGAAATATTAAACGAGTTTTGTGTGCGTGCACTTTGAATACAGTTTGGTTGCTCATGAATATATCAAAATTAAAACATCTATAATAATAATACTACAAATTTATTATGCAATTATTGAAGGTTTTTATTTTAGTAAAATTTTCATATTTGAAATTTATAATATTAAATTCCTGAATTAATTAGTAAACGTTTTTTTAAAAATTTTTTACTGCATTTTTGCTTATTTAATGTTTTGATTAGCGTTTATGCAAGCTTGATTATTTATATAGATAATTTTAAAAAATTGAAGATTAAATTATAAATTATTATTATCACTTAACGCAATATATAAATTAAGTAGCAACGGTAGAATTCACGGATTAACAAAATTGTCACTTCAACACTGAAAACAATGTATCTTAATATTTTTTATTTGTTAATTATCAATTCTTAGAAAGAAAAACTGTCTTATTAAAAACAAATAATACAACATTTAAGTTTTATCGGTTCTTTTTCAATATGTATGTAATTCTTCGATAAATTTAGATTGACATCTCGTAAGATAATTTATACATAAAATTTTTTCGTTCATGAAATTCTTTAAACAAATGAATAAAAGTGTAAGAATATAAATAACATAAACAAATAAGAAAACTATTTATATACATATGTACACACACAATATACATATATATATATATATATATATATATATATATATATTAAACTTAAAAACAAATTCTGTAAAAGAAAAAAATTTTTTTAGCTAAAATTTTAAGTTTTATTAAAAAATACTAATACTATATTCGAATTCATAACAAATGCATAAAATAGACATAATTATAAGAATCGGATTGATTACTACATACTTGTAAATTATTATATGTTATAACAAATAAAATAATTATGATGAAATTAGATTACAAATTTTGTTTGGTTTTTATAGTCAATATATTGCATTGCATTATTTTACGTCATAATTAAAATTTCTAAAAAATGGTTATGTCTTTCATAAAAAATATTAACTAAAAGCTTCTACACTTTTTATGGACTATATTCGTTTAAAATCTTTAAAGGTTATGCAATGTAGTTATATGATATTTATTTTGATATTTATAACTGATCATCACTTCGGTATATATAGTAAGGAATGTTAAACAAGTTCATAAAATGATTCTTATAACAAAAATTCTATAAACAGTTTACTTCGTCTAAATTTATTTTATATATATTTGTTATAATTATGATACTTCTTCGTATTTTACTATATATCCGTATAAATCACATGTAAAACTCGTAATGAAATGAGGAGCTAGAATTCAAGTCAAGTTTCTTAAAAATTGATTTGCACGTATCACAGGAAACATTGAAAGCTTGTTTTCCGTTCGCAGCAAATGGTCATTCACAATGCTATCCAATGTCATTGATGACATTTGAATGTTGTTTTTCTGTGTAACATCCGGTATTTTATTTCTAAGAAATGTACAACTAGCTATAGTAGGACGATTACAGTGATTTTAATTCTTGAGATGTTTTGACGTGTATGTGCAGTCCAGCGCATTTCTGTGATATATGCTGGGTCCTGGTCGACGTCGTCGTGTTAATCACTATCCTCCTCGGCAACATCCTAACGATCTTGGCAGTGAGACTGAGCCGACGACTACGGAGCGTTACTTCCAACCATCTCATACTCAGCTTGGCGATCTCAGATTTCATAGTCGGGCTGGCGGTGCTCTACCATCTCTTCTTCTTCCTAAGTAGCAGTCTCAACAATAACAAGGCCACGTGTCTTATGAGGTCTTGACATTTTCTCAGCGACTCTTAAATCCTAAGCTCTGCCCCATGATAAATAATATTTTTCTATCGGCGAGAGATATAAAAACCAAATGATTTTTCGAACATGAATTTAATTTCATCGTATAATTTATTATAATTTTAATGTCTTTTCATTATCAAAAATAATATTCAAATTAATATTACAATACAGCTGAAGATTCAATTTTATTTTCACTTTTACTCTTCTATTAAAGGCTTATCTAAAATAAACTAAATTTTATTTTAAAAACAATTTAACAAATGTTTTTTAAACAATTAACTTTATTTAATTTTGCCATATTGATTACGACTTAATATCACTAATATAGTAAGTATTTATATCAGATCACAATTTAAGTGAAAAATATTATAAATATTATAATGATTATAAAAATTGAGAAATTTTTTACTTTTCAAATCAATAGGTTGCATTTTCAAATAATTCTAGATTGTCTAATAAAATTTGTTTGCAATTTTTAACTGTAATATTATATTTATACATCCATTTGTAATTATATTACATTTTTTACAATGAACTTAAAATATTTATAATTCTGCATTTGACTTTAGATACTAATTTAATTTAACATAAATAAATTTTTATTAGTGTAGCAATTGCAAAAGTTAAGCATTTTAAAGGGCACTTAAAATCAATATTCAATCTCTCTCGCTCTCTCTCTCTCTCTCTCTCTCTCTCTCTCTCTCTCTCTTTCTATATACATATCCGCTCTATAACAATCTTTTTTCTTCCTTATTCATATATTTTATTCTATATTTATTAGGCATGTAAATAACCATATATTAATAACTATATTTAAAAATGAATTAATTATGTAAGTCAATAAAACTGTACAAATAATTGTAATAAAAAATACTAGCTAGAACAAATATCTTAGGAGTTAATATTGAGCAAAATGCTGATAATAAAAAAACTTTTACTGCAATTAGCACTAAATAAATAAACATCAATATCCATCACATATATGCCCTTGCAATTAACGCACACGAATACTACACACGCAGGTTTGTGTTTCTATCATGTGGATGTTGTGCGAGCTTTTGCAATGTGACAGCCATTGCAATCGATCGATACTTTGCAATTGTCCATCCACTTAAATATCCGGAACACGTCACGAAGAAGCTTGTTTTCATCATAATAAGCGTTAATTGGTGTTCAGCGATCTTCATCTCGACAATTCCCACCTACTGGAACAAATATGACAAATCGAACAGCTGCGAACTCGACACTGTCATACCCAGGTGCCTTTTATTTCATTTTAATAGCAAATTTACTTTCTTTATGTAATCTTTGTAAGAGAAAAGATTCGACTTTTAAGTATATACATTATAAGGATATAAACGATCGAATGGATTCAAATTTTGTCAAGAAATAATTTTACTTGACGAAAAATTAACTCAATCAATAAGAAATTTAAATTTATTTCCATACATTCACTTCAATATTTCTACTCACACCAATATATGAAATTTCATCTATATAAATTATTTAAAGAATATTTATAAATGTTCTTCGGGTAATATTAAAAAATAAGGTTACAATATTTCCTTGATTTATTTACAGGGATGAACAAATTCACTTAAATAAGTGATGATTATTTAAATCTTATTGCAAATATGGACGTTTTAAATTATTTATGCATAATCATATTATTATTTATTCGCGCGATAGAACAGTTCTATCGTAAAGGTACAATTTATGTACAAGATGCACATATTGATAAAATTACTTATGATGTATGATAAACATGAATCGTAGTAATATTTTATCAGAATACAATACTATTGTTACTGCAGTTTGTGACACGAGCATTATTAAAAAAAAAAATGATACACATTCATAAGACTTAACGTATATTCAGCTTGTACTTTAATTAAATTTAATAATAAAAAATAATATTTATAATAAATAAAACTTAACAATAACAGATAATAATTTTGTTTCTAATAAGTGATTCGACAAAAAATATTATATTACAAAGAAATAAGTAATGTGTGGTAAAATCTTTCGATTATAACACGAGTATACGTATAGTTAGAAATTATCAGTGCAACTACAATTAAAGTTGAAATTAACTTTGAATCAAGAAAAAACTAAGAAGTACTGTTAATATATTATGAGGATTTATAAAATTTTAATATGTTACAGGTATTATACGGTTGCAATTTTGACACCTCTGTTTCTTATGGTGTGGCTCAGTATTCTTCTATTGTATTTGAGAATTTGGAAGGAGGCAAACACTCATGCTAAAAGATGGAAGACGAATGGCTTTATCGATTTCGATTCAAGTCACTGGAAAAGTATTCAGGTATTTATGGACTTATTTTTATCGTTTACGCACGATTAAATTTTTTGACGACTAATGTTTTGACGACATGCATATAATAAATATAATTAAAAACAGTTCTTTGATATAAATTTGTAATATCTAAAATTAAAATTTAATTCCATTACATACATCATGATAACGAAGATCGATACCATCCCTAAACTTATATACTACATGAAACTTATTGATTTTATATTCATAAGAAAATTAACTTCATAATTTCTCTAATGTCAGTACACTGTCCAACTGTGATGGACTTAAAATAAAATATAATTCAACAATGATAAAACAAGGTCGTAAACATTAATAAGAATTTTCAATAAAACTTCTCATTTATACACACTTTTATAAATATGTCAATATAATTTATTTTACAAAATGACTTCGCCCCTCCCCCCATCCCGCCCTATCAATCGAGTAAGAATCACCAAACAAATATAAATGCTTTCACGCTTAGTATCCTTAGCAATAATCAATTATCACGAATTCGTCCCATCTACAGGTGGTCCTATTGATCTTGGGATGCTTCTCAATTTGCTGGCTGCCGTACGTTGTGGTAGCATTCATTCAAGTTATAAATGCGCGTAGCAAGCCAAGCCCTACGGTTTATCGGGTGATGTTTTCGATCGCGATGTGCAATAGCGGGGCGAACCCTATAATTTACGCGTGGAAGAATCCAAGCTTCCGCAAAGCCTTTCATCGGCTGCTGCATCTCCGTACCCCTGATCACAACAACTACAACTCGAGTTTCAAGAATTATCTACGTAAACAGAACGAGCTCGAACTCGAGGCCAAGAAGGAGTTCGGGCCGGCCTTTATTGTAAAGCCGAACGCCTGCGGAGAATCAGGGCAGGTAACGACCTTGTAAATTATTTTCACGGATCATTTGTCGAGATTAATGTTACGCATGTAGTAGATGAAGCTCCTGGGATGCTCCAAGAATCTTATTCAACTTCTGTATTCCTATAATGTGTTTTTATTTGTTTCAATTAATGTAGATTAGTTATTGATCTTTATTTGTATACATTTTCTACCTGAGCTATTATTTCATTAATTATAATACTTATAGAGAATGTATGGTAATATAAGAGTATTATTATTATCAATGGGACCCGTATCCTGACATATGGAAATGTTTATTTATCATTATGTTTGGATGCATGTATACAATTATAATAATAAGAATAATAATAATAAATTAATAAGAATTATTGGGAATTGACGTCATAGGTTACGGCTTCATTAAAATAAAATATCAGCACTTATGAAAAGTTAAAATATTACGCGCTCCACCACCTCCTAAAAGATAGAAATATAAATTCAGTCAAGGAAGGTAACAAGAATATTTACGCAAAATATTTACGTTTCTTCCGAAAAAATATATATATGTATTAATGTATTAATAGATGTGCATTATACGTATATCCTTGAAGCATTAAATTTATTACGTTCTTTGTCTTTTTCCATTATTGCATCACTGTCTGATTCTTTTGACTGTCACGATTAAAGCATAATTTCATCATAATATAGTCGATTTCGAAGTTTTAAATTCAAAATAATATTGTATTTATTTCCTTTCTTAATGACTAAACCGATAGTTTATCTGCAACATTACCAATGTTTTTTACAGTAATATATATGTTACGAATTAAAATAAAACATAGAAAATACTTGTACAAACATAGAATATAAATTGTTATTGACAAGTATTTATTTTATAATTAGTTATTAATTTATTTTATCACGTATAAGAAACTAAAAATCAAAATAAAAGTTATGATTAATTTTTTTCTTAACAATTAAACATAGCTTTTACAAAATTAATAAATTTTTCAAATTGAATTAATTTTAGAAGGGTTGATGAATAAATTCGATTATATTATAGTATTCAATAGAAAAGATTTGGCTCTTATTAGTATTAATCTAAAAAAAAAATCTAATCGCAAATATTTTGTAATCAAATCCAGTAATATCTAGAATGACTCAATGAAATCTATCCAAGTACATACGCAAATAGCTATATCTTAAATTATGTAAGAAATAAAATCATCATGGAATTTTTACAAGAAAAAGTAAAAATTTATATAGTTGATCGTAAAAATCTAATTAATTGTCAATTTTAAATTACCAATTCAAATCGTCACTAATTTTTTGCGATTGGTATAAATCATACAATCATAATGTAATTTAGATGTATTTAATAAAAAATACTTTATGACTGAAATCTAAAGTTTAATCACACAAATATTTCTCTCTGAATGTAACAATCAAATTTATACATTATAATTACTTATTATAATGCAAGCGAAAAAATATCTTATTACTTAATAATAATGTCAAAATATTTTAATGTTCCACACGCATTGTTTGCATAATTATTTTACAAAAAAAGTGAAAACAAATTTTCGTATCACAATACTGTTTAAGATTTAATTTCTAAGAAAAGTTGCTATACAAAATCTTTAAATAAATTATTTACAATTATATAAATGTAAAAGATATATATATATATATCTAATATATATTATATTACTATTATATTGATTAGAAAGAAAAATGTTGTATAAACCGTTCTAACATTAACAATTCAATAAAAAATTTAAGTAAACACCTTAACTTTATAAAGTTGTAATATTAGGGTGGTTATAATTCAGACAGTTTTTTTGTATAATACTTTAAAATAAATTATCTTATATCTTAAGGTAAAAATAAACATAAATCAAATTAATATTTAATTACTGAAGTATAAAAAAAAAAAATAATTCTTTAATAAAAAATAAGATCAATTTAATAATGTAGACCCTTCTTCGCAATACTGTATATTTTATATTTTATATCGCATTATTATTAATGCAAGACTTACTTATTTCTGTACTTAACCATATAAATAGGTTTAAAAGGTGCTTATCATTTATAACTGAAATATTAAAAATTAATAAAATAATATGTATGTAGTATATGAGAATATATAAACGTAAAAATATAGATACAGACGCTGTTTTATATCTCCTAACAATATATTAAATTATTTTATAATTAATTCAATGAATTTATAACTACAATTTTGACAAATGTCACGTAGATATTTTGTATAGAATGAAAATAAAATTATATTAAAAGTATTACTTTATTTAAATAAAACTATTAATAATTCTTAAAATAATTGTGAATTTATAAAAAATAATATCAATTGAAATAAAGTTTATACTTTAATTAGGCTAAAAATATATAATTAAACTGTATAAATTTGTATTTCAAATTTCAAATAACTTCCATTGAATTAAATAAAGCACATTATTATTTTACTGCCATTGAAATCATTAATCTTATTTTAATTAAATATTCCCCTCCTTTTTTTCTCTTTTTCATTTCTGTTAAGATAGAAATTAACTACACTTAATATATAAATCTTTAGAATTTAGATGCTAAAATATAAGGTAAATATTGTTTTAATAAAATTTACTAATTTTAATATATATATATATATATATATATATATATATATATAAGAGAATAAACTAGTTTGAAGAAGATTCACAAATAAATCAGAACTGTGTTCTGGTTTCAGAAGAAATATTAAATTGCCAATTATAAGGTCAAGCATATAATTTGTGCAGTGAAGAAATTGCATTATGATTATACATTTTAATAATTAGTTTTTATTTATTGTATGCTAAAATAATGTAATAATTAAAAGATATTTAAACAAGTCATTGTCTATGAATTACTCAAAAACGTTATTTATATCACAAAAAATTCGATTATTATATTATACATTATGTTAACAAATACTATTAAATCTTTATTTGTATTTACAAAATCTTCGTATAAAAATACTTCAATGAACATTACTTAATTTTTAATGACTTAATTATTTGTAAAACTATAACTTTATTATAAGCACATATACATTAAATTATTTATAAAAACTTTTTGTTCAAAATTCATGATAAAAAATTCTCTTATAATAATTATAGTTTAGTATTAATAATTTATTTATTACTATTTAAGTTATGATTAATATAAATTATTATTATTATTATTATTATTATTATTAGTATGATAATAATCATAATGAGGATAAGGATTTAAAATCGTATACTTAATATTAAAAATAAGATTAATGGTATATTTTTTATCATTGAATGTCAATAGAAAGTATTATTATTTCGTTTTTATTTTCAAAGGTTCATAATCAAAACAAATTATAAAAGACAATATTTTCTTTTTTTTTATACGAATTTACTGGTTTCTTATATTTAAGATTTAAATGTTAAATTGAATATTAGCATTAAATTATATCATTTATTTACAATTTTATTTACAATATTTCCATAAAATTTTTATTGAACAAAATTAAGCAAATTAATATATCTTATAATTTCATTATAATTCATTTGTATTAAAAATTTATTTAGAAAAAAGAAGAAATGCACTGTCATCTAAATCTTATAATCTAATAATCTTTAAGAAAAGGTGTATAACGACAGAGAAATATAAATGTATTATCATTGTATACGCTGTTAAAGATCTTTACATATCAATGAATGAAATTTATTGTTTTAAAACTTACCTCGACTCCAGTTACTCCTAAAGCTGCCTTGATATTCGGTGTCATGCGGAAAGGTACCTTCTCAGGCACACGCAAAGTCTTGCCCTTCTCAAAACAGACGTTGTAATCAATGTGAACAACCTCGCCCGTATTGAGGTCGACAAGTACATTATCGAGATGACGATCACCCAAACCAATTATGTAACCGATTATAGACATCACTGCCACCGAGTACGAGTAGTTCTTCGTTGCTTGCCACCAGCTGCCTGCATTAATGCTGTTGCACCAAATTTCGCTATAAGGTAAATAAAACAATACATCATTCATTTTGTTCACTAATTGTAAAGTAGATTTAGATAAAATATAATAGATTTAAATAAAATAAAAAAACAACTTACTTGGCAAGCAAATCTTTGGGCGTCTCAGTCATGAGTTCAGCGAGCACTTGTTTAAGAATGGGCAATGGCCAGTCCTTTCTGTTATCTGTACTTATGCCTCGTTCTTTGAGCAAGGGAGTGAGTTTGCTATAAAAAAGCTCCGAAGGTCTTAGTATCGCGGAATTCGTAGTCTTATTGCTCATGACACTCTCGCGCTGTTGCCACCGTTTGTAAAGTGCGAAAAGAGGCGTAACGCCATCGACCCATTGAATGAGGCCGCTACGAGGTCCAAGAGGTATCACGGAATAGTGACGCGCACGATATACCTTCTTCACAACGTTATTATTATCCTTGGACATCATCGTATTACAAATGCTGAGGAATTGCATTATACGCTCATCCAAATGGAGATCCTCCAATCCTTTGAAAAGGTAAGTGTATACGTGTCCATCCGAGCCGCGGAAAATGAGTTTTTTCGGTTTTGTTTTCGTCGGCAGTATTTGCACATTATTATCTACGGACTTTATAGTCACCATTCTGTTAAAAAACAAAAACAGATTATTAAATCGTTTATCTCATGCATTTAAATTGACACTAGATTAGGCGGAGCTATTAACGTGATTAAAAAATATTTTAATTTTCAATTAAAACAATACATTACCTAGATGTCGATATGCCAGGCATAGCGATTGAAGTATCTTTAAATTTTTCTAGAGTGGGACTGATATCTGACATTAATAGTGAATATGCTCCACGTTTATGCACCTTCTGTGCAAGTTTGGCCTCCAATTGCTTTAATGCCAAAGCTGCTGCTTGAGGTTTTGCCGGATTCTTTGGATTTTTTAACTTATCGATTACGTGTTCAATGCAAGGGCCAAACTTTTCCTAAAAATTAAAAGTACATTTATTTAATAAATACATCTAAAAAAAGATTATATATAAAATTACTTTAAAAAATTCACCAATCAATTAAATAAATGTGTTTATGATATACAATTTAGCATATTATACATTTTTATTTCATGCATATGCATTAGATAAAAAATAATACCTGGAAATATTTTTCATGTGGAGTTTCGACAGGCACTGATGTCATTGCTAAAAGATTTTCTAAGATAAAAACAATAGGTTTCAGAATAATGCGATGTTTTTCAGCTATCAATTTGTCTTTTTCTTCGGGTAAAAGCCAGATATTATCTTGAACTTTTTGCACCTCCAACTCAAGCTGTTCGAATCGTTTCGTAATTTCTGAATGATGCTGGCACAAAGTTGCAAGCCACAATTCATCCCATAATAAAGTAATTCTTCGCAATTCCTTTACTAAAATCTTAACCTGAAATACAAAAATAAAATAATTTTATATCGAATGATATATGTTATTTTTTTATATTGTATCAAGATACTTGAATTTTAGATGTTTTAGATCTTAAAATATTTATAAATTTGAACAAAAAAATATTATTTACAATGTTAATCATTTTAACTGATTTGCATTTTATCAGTCCCATAGAATTCACAAATCAAAATAATATAATAAAAGCATCATTTTCTTACTTGATCGACGGAATCAGGAATTCTGTTTGATAAACAATCAGTCAGTTGCGCAAAGCACACGTCCATGAAGCCTTGATTAGCGTCTTGACCATAATCGCCGTCCTCGCCAGAAAAGTAATCTATGTCAACGACGTCATCGCTGCCAACTTCCTTACCGAAGTCAGCACCCTGTAAACTCTTAATTTGACTGCTGGACACGGCCCCAACAACAGCCGGAAATGTTATTAAATGAGGCGAATTTTCAGCAACGCGGCAGAGCAGCTCCGAGACACGCGTTCTCACGTAACACTCAGGATGGCTGAGCCTAGAGAAAAGTTGAGGTATTATCTCCTTCCACGGGCCCGTGGGAGTCGTCGAAAGCCCGGACTCGAGGACGTTTTGTAGTTCAGAGGCATGTTTGACCACTAGCCGGAGTAATCGAAGAGTTGCCGTAATCGTATCGCAATCGTTGGTGTCCTTAGCTAATGAAAGACATTCATATACTTTAAGTGCTTTTATTTTTTTTTTTATAAATTAAAATAATTACATTATATATTACATGATTTTCAAATAGGGTAACTAATTGAGTACATACATATAATTATATAATAGTTTTTGTACTAATGGACTTCTAAATACCGATGCTAATTGGAAAGTTATTAATATCATACACAACACTTTGGATATTGTCCATAAGCATATAAAAAACAAGACTTAAAGAATCTTTATAATAAAATCAAAATTAAAAAGAAGAAACAACAAATTTTTATTCCTGCTATTAGAAAAATATTAGAAAATATAAAACAAGGTTGGATGAACTTTTCTTGCGATATTGTTGAGAAAGATATTTGTTTACAACAAATGAAGATAATGAGAATGCCGTCTTCGAAAGAACCATAGATGTTCGTTTACTTTCAAAGTTTATCCATATCATTCAATGTCACTTCATCGGTTCGCAAATGAAGATTTAGAATCAACATCTACAGGAACGTCGAAAATAATAACAAAAAAATAAATTGCCAAAACTAGCAAAAAGCAACCATTGTCACATTGCAAACCAAAACTGCTTCATATTATTATTCTACTCTCGTATTTTCATTATAATGTAAATTAAATAAATTTTCATCTAAACTTTTAAATTAAGACTATAATCAATTTATTAAATATATTTAAGTATCATTAGTTGACAGCAAAAAAAAAATTTACAGTCATTATTAATTCCGGTAAATAATAATTTAACAATTTTATAAATTGTATAAAATTTATTCTTTATAATATTATTTCTGTTTTTTTCTTCTGTAATATATATTTCATCATAATTCAAATCTTTATTTACGGGCCTATCAACTCCTCTTTTTACTAATACAGACGAAAATAGAGCTGCTGGATTATTTTTCAGTTGTAAAGAATGCAACCTGTTTATAACAGTTACATAAGAGAAAATACCTTTGGGATTCCCATTAAATAAAATTGGGTCGTTACAGTTTACGCATATCAAACGATAAAAATTATTGAACAAAATTATATACAAATTATATTTGATAAACATTTTTTATACCTAATTGTAAATACTTGAAGTACGCATTTGCAGATAATTCGTAGTATGAATAAATCCGAGCTTGCGCTTGTCGCCAGATATCCACTAACATGCTAAGGTGTTCACTACTAGCGCAGTTTAGAATTGGAACACTACGTAAGAGATGCTCGATAGTTTCTGAAGTGTTCACGTCATGAGTGTCAATATCTCCTATAATAAGAAAGTTTCTTTTATTATATACATGTGATAAATCGAAGTAAATTTTTTTAACACTTTTTTTATATCATTATTTTAAATATGAATATTTTGTTAAAATATTTTCATTGACAATAATCGAGATAACAATATATATATATACAACTATTTAACATAGCAAATTTTCATACTCGTGGGTATTCGGTTCAGTTTACCTTCATCCTCGGGCACGATGCGATTTTTTTGACCGAGAATTGTGAGCACGGCGTTAAGGTCGGCTTCGCTCACGTCGGAAGGCAAAAGCGATTGTATGCTCATTTTGTCGTTATCGGTAAGAAGTCCGCTGCTGGGATTGTCAACAATTTTTCTGCCCCATTTGTAGCACCAGGCAGCAAAGTTTGACCAGACAGCGGGTAAGTCGGGACACTGGTTCACCCCAAGTTGCACAAGCTTGCCAACTATGACGTCCGAAGCAGGTATAAGCTCAGTCGTCTTACCGAAAAGCTTATCCATGAGGCCGTCGTTGTGCAACGATTCGAAGCACAGTAGTTCGTCCAGCTGCGGATTATTCTCCACCTTCGCGTCCTGCTGTATCCATTTTCCTGTTAATATCAATAATTTTAATCGCTCTTTTGTCCAAATGTTATAATATTACATTTTCACTTCATTCTATATTTTTGGATAATAATTTAAACGGTGCATTACTTACAATCGAACTTTTATACAAAATTGTTTAATATAAACTTAAATAAAAATATTTCATTTACTTTTGTTCATATTAATAAGTAAACTTCTGTTAAAAATTATGAAAAGCTATGATAAAAATCTGTCAAATTGTACTAATTTATGTAATATTTTCCATCAAACTTTCAAACTTTAATAAGATAGACAGGACATATGAAAAAGATTTTTAAAAAAACTATGAGCTGTAACTTAACACATATTTACTTAAAACGATACGATAAAGCAATATTATTTTATAATTTTTACACAAACTAATTAATCGTTAATGATAGCGGTAAATATAAAGATTGATTCGGTGATTAATGATAAATTTATTTTAACATTGAACATCCTTTTAGTTGTATTGTTACTTAATCTACTAATATTTGAAAAATTAATTAATATATACCATAATATAAACAATATAATATAATATAACCAATAAATAGGCTTTATATATATATATATATAATTACATGTTTCTATGAACTAAGCTTGTTATACTGAAACTTTCATTAAAGGTTTATTAAATAATTCGTAATTGCTAGTATCTAATAGGTTAAGTAAAATTTTAAATCCTGTTAAAATAATTCAACAATTCATAATTAATTTTATATTAATATTGCTTTTTTTATTTAAAATATACATATTTCATATTTATTAGTGAAACTGCATACACTGGTTAATCCATATCCAAAATATCTTATATAAAATATATAAAATTATAATATAATATATAAAATATATAAAATAGAATATATAAAATTCTTAATTGTTTTCTTTTACATTTTGAACTTACCTAGAGTGAGTAAAACCTTGGTTCCAACCTCTCTCAATTCAGCAGGTGCTTGTTCTCCCGCTGCCACGATGCTTTTAGATATTCCCAATGCGGTAACACTGCATACTTTTAGCGCCTCTTCGGTCCTCTCCATATTATACAACAACTTCGAAGTCTCTCTGAAGGCCCTCGTATTATCTTCGGACCAGCTGATCTGCGTTGCTGCTTCGGCATTGCTCAGCACCTCCTCAACGATGTCTTGGAAAATGGTACTACGTGTTGCAAAACCACAGCCCGAGGCAAAGTATCTGCTAAGCTCGCGCTGGGCAAGTCCGAAATTGCCTTCTTTGCGAGCCGTACGAGCCACGTGTAGACGTAACGCCTCTACGTCACTCAGCTCGTGGTAAGACTTCTCCGTTTTTCGAAAGTAGTTCGACCACCAAAGCACTTGCGTCAACACACTCGAGCTCAAGTGGCACAACTTGTCCACCTGGAAAACCAGTGATTTTTAATATCTTTACTTACATTCAATCTAATAACGATATTTTTGCTCAAAATCTGTTACTTGTTTCTATATAATAAAATTAATTAGTAATGCAACAAAAGGAAAATTGAAGAAAATTTTTTTCTAAAAATGTGCTAATAAATTATTCGATAAAAAAGGATAAGGTAGCACTGACCTGTAACAATTCGAAAACATTTACAGGATTTCCGGGGCAATTATTCAAAAGATTCCTAAGACCCGCAGCTGAATACTGTAGGAGAATCGCATCGTTCAGATACTCCGAAGGTACGTTTCTGAGTCCCTCCTCCATTGTTCTGGCGGCAACCTTTCTGCACCTTTCAACGTCCTCGAGGAAATTGTTCTCATTGTCATCAACGTAAATCCGCAACGCAACATTAGTAAGTGTATTGAAACATTCGATCATCGTCTTGGCGCAGCTCCAATTGGTTTTGGCCTCTTCGTCCAGCAACGTCCAGTCAGAAAGCTCCTGTAAAGATAATGCCTCGGCCTCTTCGAATTTTCTTAAGCATGTTGCTTGCTGAGGCGCAATGCTTTCAAACATTTGTTTGCGCAAGGACGAGTTCTTCTGTTGCTCGAAAATCTCAGATTCACGAATTTTCCAGTTTTCGAGTTGCTTCCAGTCACAAACTGAACGATAGCATTTGGATAATTGCTCCATACAGAATACAGCCACCTGAAAGAATAAACAAATTCCAAGTTCACCATTGATATGATTAATTGCTTATAAAGTAAATATTGAATGTAAAATTTAAATACTAAAATATAAAATTTATATTTCATCGCAAAATATTATTTAATTTAAGAAACAAGCTTATTGTCGTAAATATTACTAAATTAATAAATTTAGTATTTATAGTCGTAATCGTTTTAATAATATTTTAGTACTGGTTTTAGTAAATTTTTTTAAACACAAAAAGGATAGACTTTGTGTATTGGTGATTCATGACAGGTCAAATGCAAGAATTAATTTCATATTATAATACAATGTATACATGAATAATTTAATAATTTAATATTTATCTATAGTTATACCATCATTTTTCAATTCAGATTAGTCTATATAAAGTTAACCTAATGGTATGCAATAAGCGGCAACCAAAATTTTGTTAACAACCTTGAAGAAAGCTATTGATTATAATTGCCATTATTGAACGATAGGATTGTTATTAAAATCATTAAAAGTGACACGTTTTCAAAAATCATTATCTCATTATTGAATGTGCCTAAAGCCTTTTGTTGTTCAATAATGACATTTAAATTTGACTCGATAACTCAAAACAAATAATGCCAAAATTTACTCATCAAATAGCTCATATCTAAACAAAAACTAACACAGAACTCATTCGAATCACAGGCATATTTTTACCCACAGAATTGACTTTATTTAATTCAGACACCAATTATATGTGACAGCCAAAATGTATTCTTTTATCATACTTCAATACATGTTTATTTTTTCTCAAATTATACTCAAAATATAAGATCTCTACATATAATGGATTTAAAAACTTATCATTTTTAAATGAGTAATAAACTTCGAATCAAAAGATAATTCTGTGAAATCGGAATGTAAGATACCTATTTTCGAAATGTAATTCGAAGAACAGTTAATCATCGAAAGTCAAGGGGAAATCTATATTGGCTGTAGCCAAGCTAAATACCTTAAAAGTGTTCAATTAAGCACTAAAAGGACTACATCTCAAACTCAAAATGGAAGCTTGGATACTTACTCAAGTGTTAATTGGACACAGAAGACTTCGTTATTTATGTAAACGATGAGCGTCGCGGATAATCTCCGATGTAACTGTAAAAGTAACTCGAGCCTATTTTCCACATATTAACGCTAAGTACTAAAAAATATTTTCTTCTATTGTGACAAAAGTTACAATTAAATATGTGATAAAAGCGCGCTCCTTGCGTAATGAAGTCGGAATAAAAACGCAATTTCTTACAATAAAGGAATGCAAAAAAATTTTTTGGTCAAAATGCTTGCTCATACACGATAACATATGAATTTTTTGTACCTGAAAATCTCCTCCTTCACTGCTTGATCGAACATCAGAAGTTTTGGCATCTTCGTCAGGGCGAATTTGAATTTGCTCTTCGATAATTTGACGATAATTCTCGGCAGCAGATTCATGTTTTCCAGCTGCTTCCTCCATCGCTGCTTTAAGCCATACAAATTTACGATCTTTCTCCTTTATGTAAACATACAAACCTAAAACAGCGAATCATTTTCTTTAAAACTATTTAATTATAATGAATTCTTTAAAAACTACATATTTTACCAAATTTTTTAATAGTTTAACACCCCTGAGTTCATATATATTTATTTTATTTTCATTTTTTCATTATTTATTTATTTTAAAATAATGCAATGCAATAATTCATTATAAAATACAATAAAACAATGATATTTTTCAATAATGATTCAAGAATACCTTGTAGCGCTTCTGCTTCCCCCAACATAACCATGGCTTTAGCGACACACAGTGTTGCCCTTTCAAATTCTGCACCCTGAATATTATTAACAACGATCAGATCTTCAAGCAATTTCTGACCATTCCTCAGTGCATTACTAGCTAATCCAGCATGTAGAGAAACTACACACAATGCTAATCTAATGCGATTAAGCCATTCTCGACATGTAGATCTGTAAAAGGATAAAAATATTTCAATAGATTAATAGTCTCGATTTCAACTATACGTTTTCATATTAAATGTGTTAAAAACTCATTACTAATAAATACATTAATTACTAAAACATGAGCAACTGTAAACATTAATAATTGAAGCTTCAAGACAATTAAATATCATATACATACAAAGAAAAACCTAATGTCTAACTCCTGACTTTAGATATATAATATATTTTCGCAATATCTTATGAATATATAAGGAAGGTAAGTCGTTGTTTTAACCTGTTTGTATGAAAGAATGTACGAACAGGCTTGGAATGAGGTAGCAATGCAACAGCACAGCCCTCAGCCGCATTGTGTATAACCCGCTCAAGATGCTCAAGAAACTCAATCAAAAGTCGCACACGCGTATGCTCGTGCAGCAGATAATCAAGGCCCCGCTTATCTTTTTTTGGCATTTCTGGCACATACGATATTTCACGAGCTAACATCTTCAAGGCTCCCTCGATCGTTGTAAAAGTTTCCTGCGGTTTTCCCAAAGGAGTACGAAGCTTATTGAGAACACAGTGTTGTGCGGCATCAAAACCGCACCAAAAAAACAAGATGGAGCAATTGGCGAGAGCCAATTCATACATCATAGCCATAGCTTCGTTATCTGATCTAAAACAGAAATGCAATCCATAATTTTATTGTGTACTATAAAAATATTTCTTTATTCTCAAGCTGGAATGGATAAATTTCGTTGGTAAAATAAAAATATAACTCTATTTAGAGAAATACCTGAATAAACACTCAACTTTAAATATATTTTACATAAATATTACATACAAATGTATTTTATAATACAAAAATACTCACACATTTGGCCAACATAAAGTAAAAACTTCTGATAAACCAAAGACATCAAAATAATATTCTTGCAAAAGAAAAGCCATATATGTTTTAAAATGCTGAGCTTGCATTTCTCCATTATTACTTCGCATATGAAGTCTTTGAGTAAGAATTAAAGATTTTGAGGAGTAGCTTTGGATGTCTCTACATTTCTAATTACAAAAAGGGTAAAGATAAATATAAATGTACAATAATTATATAGCAATTAAATAATTAATACCTTATCATCAGATAATAAACCAGCCTTATTTAATTTTAGCATCACTATATTTAATGGGATATTCATTAAAAGAAGCCCATATTTCTCACGAACAGATTTATCGAAAGAAGTCAAGTGTGGAATAATTACATCAACAATATTATAATATATTTCGTCTGGCCATAATACTTTTGCTTTGAATAAAGTTTCTATATTTTTGCAAGCCTATATACATAATACACAGTTAAAAATACTTTTTGTTATGCATTCTGTACTATAAAAATATCAATTTTGAAATATGATTTTTATATAAACAAAGACTAACCGCAATAGCAATTTTAAAATTAGTCGTTCCTCCGCAAATCAATAAACTAGCAACTACAGCTTGATATTCTTTGGATTTACTAAGCATACCGATATAATTTTCAGCTTGTGTATTGATTTCATATAACCAATCGAGCAATAATAACAATGTCTTATCAGGAATTTCTTTGTTTTCAATGGTCTTCACTATAAGGTTCAAAATTACCGACAAGTGTCCGCTAGTCGGAGAGATTGTAGGCACATCCAATGTACCAGGGAAAATGTCCAAGGGCCGACATGCATTTGTACCTGTTATCAAACTTGAACTAGGCACAAAATGATTGTATCTGCAATATTTATTGTTTATAATTATTTACTCATTTTTAGCAATATCACTAAATATTTTGTACCATAAATAACAGTCATCAATAGTAAAAAAAATAGAAATCTAATCGATTTTTCAAATTTAGAAAATTTACTAACCGTGAACAATGAGTATATAACAAAAACAGAATATGATACTGTAAAAGTGGGCTTTCCTTTGATAAAAGTGAATTATGTGGTTTTAATTTCACTGCTAATAATTCTAATATACTCGGTTTTAACGCCCACATTCCAATAATAGAATTACTCGCATTTGCTGTAATAAAATAGAAATAAATAAAATTAAAATAAGTATTCTTTAATTTTATAACATATAAATAAAATCATATAGAAATAATTATGTTGCCTAAATTGTACTATTTTAAGTATGAAGTATGATAAATAATGATAAAACACACTACTACACCTATATTTACATATTTTTCTTTATCTATCGTTTTAAAAAAATGTCATTTATTCAACATTTACCAATGTCAGAGAGAGCCCTCAATAGAAACACTAAGACGATCTCAGCATGTTTTCTCTGATACTGTGCATCTGTGAGAGGATTATCTAGCACGAGCGGCTCAGTCACAGGTATAACAGTTTTGTAGGCATTTTCGAGATCTGCAAGAATATAACGATAGGCCTCTTGCAGTAATGGGATATTCTTAAGGCTCAGTAAACTTTGATAAACATCGAGCACGGCATTCTGAATAATCAAAGTGCTTCTAAAACGTAGCTTTGTTATTGTAGAGTTTTTACCCAGCAGAGTGTGAACGAGATCTAATGGTAAATTGGCTGAAACCTAAAATTTTCAATGTGATGATTAAGCCAAATAGAAAGAAATAAATTGACATGACACGGTAAATAATATTATTAGAAAAACTGATATTTTTATAGAAATATTAACAAAATCAATCTTAAAACGAAAACTTAAAAAATCTCTTTTCAAATAAGCTTTAAAAATCTTTAACTTGCCCTTAATTTAAAAAAATCGACAATGAAGTTTTTTGCCTATTAGAAAAAGATAAATTTTCTACCACATTAATGAATGAATTCATTTATTTTACAAGTTTCATTTATAGTATTTCTAAAATACTGTTAAAGTATTTTATAAATAAAAATTATAAAATTTTTATTTACCTCTTTAATAACTTTGGAGATGGTGTTGAGCATGGATACAATGGTATTATCCCAGAAAATACTTACACGTTGCAATTGATGATTGATGAATTTATATAGGAGGTCATGATTTTTAGAAACTCTACTCTGTAAGAGCCCGAGTAACAAAAACGTACATTCATTAGCAACGACAACTAATTCTTCTTTTTCTTCTGATAGGTCAGAGTTTTTCTTGATACGTAAATCCATAGATTTCAACAAATTAATTAAAGATTCCTCTTTTTCTTTTGTCAATGTCGAAATTATGTCTTTTTCATTAAATTTTGCATTTTTCTTATCATTTTTTTTTAAGTTTAATGATTTTATTAACTTCACTAAGCTTTCCTCATTGACTTCTTCATCTTTATTTAAACTTTTTAGTAATGCATCGATACTATTTTGAGAAAGATTCATATTTTTCATACACTGAGTAATGCTATCAGCATTTTCCTGTTAATTATTTAAATAATGAATAAATAAAAAAGATTTATAAAGTTAAACGTCTTTAAATAATGTTATTATTAGCATGCAAAGATAAACACTTCTTACTATGCAGGTTTTTTGGATTCACTTAGTATTATTTCTACATATTATTAATGTATATTTCAATTTTTTAAGACTAAATTTCTGGTATTTAAACAAATCTTTATTTTAATTATTTGATTTATATTTTACAGCCTTGGACATTACAAACAAAATCGAAAAGACCATTTTAACTTAATGTCATTCACGTAAAAATATATCGACTAACAGAAAGTGAACACATGTATATTGTTAAATAATACATTTGATTAATAATTTGAGTCTTCGAAGATTCAATTAAAACAATTCTACTAAGATATAGCGCGGATCTTAAAACACTTGCAAAAACACAAATAAATTTATAGTCATAGATAGACTAAAAGGATAACACAGTGTAAACGATCATAATGGTTTTAATTGAAGACAAAGCAAAAATCCTTAAGGCTGTAAAAATTATGAGAACTAATTATGCTCCTACCATTTTGAATATTTATAGAGTTACAATGTAATCAATTTAAAAAATCAACTGTGAATACAGCAAAATATTGTAGCATTACCTTATGTCCAAATTTAACATTATTATTTTTAATTGCATTAAAACAGTTTTAAAAATGAAAAGAAAAATAAATCGATAAAATACTTTACTAACCTGAGATAGAGTGATATCATTATTACTCAGAATTTCAATACCATCGTCAAGTTCCATAGCTTTAACAACTGTTCGAAGCATTTTTGATAAACAATCCATTAGAAAAGACCACTGGACGTTGGGTGTGAGAGCAGGACTCAAGTGTTCTTCGATGCACTTCATCACTGTATTGAAGACTGCTATTAATGATGTTATTCTCAAAATACAATCCCTCGGACAAGGCAATCCATCTTCTTCGCCTGGTGAACTTCGTCCGGAACCCGGAAGTGATAATTCCTCATCGTAACTTTCCATATCTTCAAGGAATTGGCCAAGCAACGTAAGCGTAAACTGTAGATCGGCAATCCAGAAGTTACGTAACCATTGCAGACTACGACTTGCATATTCGACAATGGATTTTTGTTGAGTTGAGTCAATATGCCAGCCAACTAGGATATCTACCGTGTCTCGGAAGTGATCATTAAAACTTTCTGGATAAACATCGATAATCAAAAGGATCGAATCTACAGTGGCTATAAGTAAATCCGGACGATCAACATTTTCTAAGGCAGATTGTAGGTGAGACATCATTGTCTGTGAATTTAATTGTTTTTTTATTCAATATAAACCATTAACATGAGTTCAAATACTTCATTAAACTTTACTTTTCTCAAAATACAAATTATTATCCATTTATTCAAATAATTGTTGATAAAAATAATTACCAAAGAATAATCCTTTAATTTCGGTGTTTTGGCATTGAGGTTTAGTGTCTCACAGAATGATTTCATGAGTAAACATTTCACGTCATCCTTGCGCTCCAAAGAATATTTATTAAATAACCAGTCCATAAATCTAAAATAGTAAAATAGAAAGAATAAACCAAGAATAATTGATTTGATTTCTTAATTAATAGATTTGATGATCATCAGTAAGGAATTTTTATTGTAATAAAATAAAAAAATAATTAGATGAGTAATTTATGCACAAGCTCTAGTTTAAAATTAGCATATTGAAACCAAAGTTATATATTTTTTTTCTTCTTTGTAAAACCAACCTTTTGAAATCTTGATCTGCGATGTATCCAATACCTCCTAGGCATTTAGCTATATGATATTTTGCTTCAAGGTTGGGTCCGCTGTACAATAAATTCAAAAAACTTTCACAGATGACGTCTAAATTTCGTCTGATATATTTTTGATTCTCAGGAGCAATAATGCCTTCCTGCATCTGCTTACAAAGGCCTAAGAAATGATCATAGTCATCTTCTCGACACAAGCGTCTCAAAAGCTTGGGAATTCTAGAATCATCTGAAAAAAAATTATACAAAATTTACATTAAAATTATAAATTAAAAATAAGGTTTTATTTAAATAAATTTTATTATACTCTTATCATTACCATTTATTCTCTTATCGTCGTAATACTTATTCTCTTGATTTTTCAGCGATTCTTGAAATTTCGGTCTCGACTGAGAATGCGTGTAACTGCTGTCGATATTCGCCTCGCGGTCGATGATAGTTTTCTTGAATGCTCGAGCCTTTGTTCCACCGCCACCGCCACCTCCTCGCCCACGATCTCCACTGATACCTCCGCGAGCCATTCGAAATTCATTTCGTGGCTCACCACTAAACCTTAACACGTAAATACCTTTAAGTAATGAATCGCTGTTCTAACACGAAATATCATTTAATATTTTGTTGTCTTATTGCTATCCTGCCGATTTTATAATACTCAGTAATAAAATACCCATTATAGGTAATAGGTTCGCTATGTTTATTTCACAAAATTTTTCAATGCTAGATTTGACATAATTTGTTAAGATAAACATAGGAGTAACAAACATTGGTTAGAAAAGAATATCTTAATAAACACTGAATAACGTCAGAAGATAAATATGCCGACCTAATTTGAATTTTTAATATAATGCATATATAAATATGTAAAACAAAATGTAACTAAAATGTGTTAATTTCGTAAATATGAAAGTTTTATCTAACGTTATTTATGATAAATTTATTCGAGATTTTTTCTTAACTTATTACTATTGTTTGAATATAAGATAATAAATGATATCAATTCACAAGAAATTGATTTCTTTTTTATCATATGTAAATTCAAAGTGCTCATAATAACGATACCGAAACTATTAATAAAAGACTTCAATAAAAACGCGAAGTTGATATAAAAAATATACTTAATAATATAAGATGGAAAGAATAAATTATTCATGATAAAAATGTTATCTCGTTCTCATATATAAAATATAATGTATAAATAATTTTTACTTTAATTTCGTATACCTCTCTTATTAATTGAATAAAAGGATTTTTATATTTTTATGATATGATTTTTATACTTTCATTGAGAAGTATATTAATAAATAATCTTACCATTAACCAATTTAAAAATATTTTGTTGTAAATAATATCATCGGACGTTCGATCAAAGTTCAATTTCATTCTTCTTGTTAATTTTAATAGTAAATGAATTGTTAATATACTATACTGATAAATATTATTAATTTTCGTCATTATTAGTTTCATAATTAACTTATCAAATAAAATAAAAAAATGTAAATTGAAACTAATATAGTTATTTATTATTTTGTTATAATTTGTTATATAATATTTATATATTTACAATAAACAAAAAAAGTTCTCAAATAATTCTCAATGAATCGACACACTCAAGCAAAATTATAAATTTAGCAATTGTTAATTTTGAATTAACACAATTTCTACGTGATAAATTAATCCTATTATTTGCTCATTGTCGATCAAAATTACTGAAAAAATAGTAATTTTCTTATTTATCCTTTATGATATTAAAATTGTTTGAACAAGTCATTTCTTGATTATTAATTTAACTACTATTAAATAATGATAGTTTTTCATAAAATCTAATTTTATGAAAACTAAAGTTATAAAAACTAATCCAATAAAAAATATACCTGGGCTTAAATCTCGAAAAATTGTGATCAGTTGAATAATAGCTGGAATTTCTCTGGCAAATAAATAAAGTTGTTCTTGGTGCTCTTATAATATCATTAACGTTGTAACTACTTAGTATTTCATTGTCTTCTTTATCTTCTTGGGGCTCTGTAAACAGTGTCTCTTCACCTTTGTCCAAATTCTTGGATCCCCTTAGCTTTGTGCCGATGTTGGTACTCCCACAGCTACTCATCACATTGCTCTGCAAGTGGATGACATGATCCACACACCTCAGAGGCGCATAAGCTTCTATTGAATCAGCTTTGCACCGTTATATTTAACTTATAGGTTAGAAGTTACTATAAAAGGAAAAAATTAATCAAATACTTTTTATACTTAAATTTTATTACACTATAAATGAATGTATATAATTTGAAGGCTTTTATAAAAAAAAATAGAATCATATAAAGAGTTTCTTGCTCTATTATTTTAATTAGGTCACTTGTTTTTAATTGTACTTAACTTACCTTGTGCGTTAACTTAATTCTGTATTTGTCTAAAAATATGTACATATGTAAATAAAATTTATAAATAAACATGAATAATTTGATTACATAAAAAGATTAAAAATTATAATATATAATTACCAATAGGGGTAATAAAGAAACTAAATTACAAAAATTATTAAAAAATATGTAGATAAATCCAAATAGATGCAAATAATATAATAAAAGTAAATAATTGAATATTGTAATTCAGTTTATTAAGAAAAATAAGTATTTATACAATTCTTATCTATGATTCTATTTTAAAATGCTACTCCATGGAGTATCAGTGTTTTAATAAGGCATGTCTTACTTTATACTGCTATATAGTGCCATCTCTAGTCATACAAAAACAACATACATAATTGAAAATATTTTTAATATTTTAACAATTATTAAAAGTATAAAAATAAATGTTATTAACAGTACAAAAATAGTAATAATTATTTCATAAATTAATATTGAATTTTATATGTAAAAAATTATTTTAAGAGAAAATACATGAAAATCAGTAGAAAATATAAAATATTTTTATTCTTATTTATAAATTGGAATGATTGAAATAATCTAGAGCATTATAAAAATGTAAAATATTTACTATTTGTACATTACTTCTTTAACGAATAATATCAGTAAAATCTACACATCTATTTGAAATAATATAAAATAAGATATTTAATTAGATAATAAATTTTATTAATAACATTCCTAAAATTTGATATACCTTTACATGCACCAAATATTCAAAGAATTAATTTTACATTAAAAATAAACGGATTTATTAAAGTAAGTTTAATATCTTTCAAATATCTTTACAATCAAATTGAATAGTAAAAAATTTATTTTATACACAGCTATACAATAAATATTAACCACATATTCAATGAATTAAAAAGCATGTGTCAATATTTATAATGAATTAATCAAATAAGAAAATTTTAAAGCAACAAGTATTTGCAAAATGAATGTAGTGAAGTAGTTTACATTTGTGTAAGAAAATTCATCGACTACTAACATTACAACTCAAAAAGTCAATAAACAAACTGAAAAATTACAGAATACTAGATATATGTAATTGAACAAATTCTGAATTGAAAAAATCTTTATTTCTTAAGAAAAATTTTAGGAAAATTAAATAATTCTTTTTTTTTTATAAAATACAAATAAGAGCGTAGGTGTATACCTGCTGGTTTAAATTCGCTTGTTCCTTAAATTCTCAGAATAGAAATTGTCTTCATTTACTAATTCACGTTTATGCTACTTCAAAAAATTAAATCATATGGAAAAAATTTTCTCGTGAAGCACATGAAAAAATAAATGTAACTCGTATCACAATCGTGTATTTCTACGGCAAGCCAGCGTTGCCACTTCCGCCATGTTGTAAAATTTGGTTACAGTTCCCGGAAAATTCCTGCAGGTGTCGTGCGATGTTCTCAAAAATTTTCTTTTCATTCGGATATTTAGTAATTGCATCATTTCACCACACGATTTTAAAAATTCATTATTATTACGATTGATTTATTTTTAATAATATTCATTCTTTAATGAAATAACCATTATTTTAATGTATTAATTAGAATCTGAGAGTATAAATTAATGTTGTTTTCTTCAAAAGTAGAATAAACGTTCTTGTGAATATTTTTTTATCTATCGATGTAACAAATCTATATAGGTTAGAAGAAAATCAGCTGATTGATCGATTATAGCCTTCTTTGTATTTAGTAAGGAAAAAATAAACTATTAACTGGTACATATATAAGGCGAGATATTAAAATTTTTAATATTATCCCAAGGTAATAATGTAGATAGTTTATCATGTTAGATGAAATGAAATTATTTATTTGGTAACAACTATTTTTATCTTTAAAATCGTTTATTCTCACGCATTACACAAGTAATATAAGTAATTCTAAAAATTAAATGAATCGCAAAGCTTTTAATACAATCATATCTAAATAATATATGAAAATTAAATTTTTATCATGTTAATAATTTCTGTAAATTTAAGTATTTAAAGTAGATGTAAATTTTCTAAATTATTTTTACTTGGTATTATGGAAAGAGTAAATGGTAATATAAAAAAACACTGTAAAAAATTACAACTCTCACTCGAAGAATTACAAGTATGTTAAAAAATATATTAATTCATACATATTTAATACCCTTATTCATCCTATATCATTATTTTTTATATTAAATATCTTCAGAACATAATGAGGAGTTTAGAAATTAATGATAGACATCGACTAAATAATTTGGATGTCCAAAAATCATATAATCAAGAACTACATAACAGTAGATACATAAGAAGAAAATTAAAAGAAATAAAAAATGCTCATCATGCCCCATGGTTAAATAAAGAGTACACTGAAGCAGTTGTAAGAAAAAGATTGGCTTTAAAAAATATTCAGAAATGTTTTACATATGATGATGAATTATAAAAAATATCCAAACTGGAAATAATCCATTAAAAGTTATATAAAAATGGCTTGTACATACATTTAAATATGTTCGTTAACATGTTTAAATATAATATTCAACATTTATTATAGAAATCATAATTATAGCCATAAATACATTTTAAATTATATACATACAAGATTTTGATACATATACAAAGTTTTGAAATAAAATATCTTTCAAAATATAAAATCATTTATACTTCTAATAATTATTTTTAATGTTTGAGTATTATTATAATACAGTTGTATTAAGGTATATTTACTTATTTAGTTGTCTATCTATTTATCTGCTGCTGTATAATATATATATAACATTTATATAGTATAAAAAAGAGCAATATTAATAAATTCACAAATACATCTGTCACTTTTCCAAAATATAAATATAAAATTACAAGTTATTGAGTGGATTTAAAAACAAATAAAGAAATAGTTCAATTACAATAAAAAAATTGTTTTATTCATATTTTTAAAAATATCATTTATACAGGTTGAAATTGGTAACTTACTGAAAATAGAATTTCATTAATTCTTTATTAAGGAAAACTCTTGTTTCATTATTTAATAAATGTCACAGTTTTGTAATATATTCTTAAAGACTTGATACAAACATACTTTTATTTTAAAAACATTACGTATGTAAAGTTCAATCACTTACGTACTTTTAAATCTGAGCCTATTTCATATTGAATTATAATCGCGACTAGCAGTTATATAACACCAAAGACTAAATGCTTAAAAGCACAAATGCAATTCTTCACTACATTTTTTTAATATTTCGAAATTTCCAGTTCTGACAGCATATCCAGCCATTATATCGTAGGCATATTTCAATACGGCCTTATAATTTTCTTCTCCAAGCACATCCAATTTCAAAGAATAAACGTTCTGATCCTCCTCGATACTCGATTCTGTGTCTTCTTCAGGCGGTGGCACAGGCGGTGGATTACTTACGGATTTCTTTTCCTGTGATCGTTTTGCTTTTGGATTTTGTAAGTCATTCTCGTCTCTTTCTTTATCTCTTTTTGGGCAACTACAAATTTGCACCTAAAATATTTATAGTAAAAAATCAATTGATAATTCAAGGATGGCATCTATATTTTAGATATGTATTATCTAGAAAAATATGAGAATTCAAATATTTTAACATTATCAAACATCTTTCAATGTATTTTCAAAGACTATTCGAAAGTTGAAGATGCTAATAAACCTACAATATATTAAAATATTTCCAATACATTTTTTAAGCATTAAGATTGTAAATCGATTAAAATTATTCTAAAATTGCAAGTTAGTTCACGAGAAAAAAAAAATTAATTTCTCAGTACTATTTTTTTTACGTAAAAGTAGCTATTTCTATATTTTTCACTCCCTTTCTTCTTCTAAGAAAACAGTAGATGAACGCTTAAATCGTTTTATCTACAGATCGTATGTGATTTTCAATGATACAGAATTCTGTACTATGAAATATTTCATTATTTATAATAATTTCATTATTATCATTACTACTATTATTATTATTATTATTATTATTATTATTATTATTATTATTAGTTTTTATAATAATCTGAATATAAGCTTTTAAAAGTTGTTATTCGCTTGTATTTTTTCTAACGAAACCCAACTAGTCGTATTGTACTTTACATTACCAATATAAAAATACTATTTTATGACTCAACATACCTGAAGAGATCTCCTGCCGAGAACCTGGCCAGTCTGCGATTCTAAAGTGAATACCATCATTGTTGGCCTCCTATTGATGCCAGTAGGACAACTATTTTTGCAATAGAACAGAAAGTCAATGGGTACGTCCTTAAGGCCAACAACCGGGTTATTTAAGGGAGTCAGTGTTGATAAGATCCCGTTGTTACAATGATAGTAGCTGCGCACATTCCCCGTACGAAATACGTGCTGAAGCTGGCTGGCATTTATATTTTGATTGTAAGGCAAATCGGAGGCCATGTGGGCATAGCAGCGCTGTACCGGGATGCTTCGGTCGTGATCCTCACGAAACACCATCGTCGTACGCAGCCAAAAGTCGCCATGAAACGAGCTCCACGAGAAACGCATTGGCAGAACATGTCCCATTTTTATATAGACTTTCAATAGCTTCTTCGAGTACTGCGACCATATATCGATAATCATTGTTAGTATTATTTTAAATACCAAGCAATATATTCGAACGATATCTTTTTGATCGGTTAACATTTTATTTGAAATTATTGAAAATATGTGTGATCAAAGCCAAGGTGAATTTCTAATTATATATATAATGGTTTGACTAATAAACATGAATGAAGGAACAAAAGATTTTGAATTCCCAGTTAATCATTTTTCGCAGCCCTGTATCAATGCAACGAGATGAGGAACAATAATATTTGAAAGCTCAATTTTATGCTAATAATATGCTAAATAACCATTATACAATTAATATTAACGCGTAAAGGTTTACTTTAAAAATCCAATTAAAAAATACAGTTTACAATTAGTATTTGAAGTGAAACGTTATATTAAACTTTTTTTAATAAATTCGTGACAATTATTATAATTAAGAACCTTTTCAAGTAATTGGAAGAAAAAGTTTTTAAAAAGTTTTACATAAAAAATTGTTGGAATGCCTCCAGAAGAGAAAGAAGATACAAAATTAGTTGAAATATAGTGAAAATAATGTAAAGGGTTGATTAATATGCTAAAGATTAAAAATATCATTAAAAATGGAACAATAAAATGTACGTTAAAATATTGTTACATATAATATTTATAAAAAAAATTTCTAAATACATTACAATAACGTGACTCATAAATATATATATATGCGCATAGATAATTGACAATTTTCAAGACCATTTTTATAAAAATTACATAATATACACATATATGTATGTGTGTGTATAGGTAATCGATTTTAATCCATAAATTACATTAAATATTAAAATAATAATTCAAGGAAAGTTAGCTAAAATATTACCTACCATTAAATTTGTTCTAAAACATTCATTTACAGGAAGTGAAAACTGAAAATTAAATTCTCCAGGATAATCATCTAAAGTTACAATTGGCGTTTGACATACAGAGGATTTTCTAATTATTGGTTCTTTTGGCCAATAAGGAGTAACTTGATTTGGTATATACTTTTTATGAAAGTTTTGTTGATGTAGACTTGAATAATCCATCCTAGGTCCGAGTTAATTAAACGATAAGAAATTTGTTTAATTTCTATTATATTAAGTATTATATTGATAGATAACAAATATTATGTAAATTTAATTATAATATATATTATAAAGATTTTCAAATTCAATAAATAAGTATAATAATAAAAAAACTTACATATAACCATTATTCTGATATTTATAAAATGGATCATCTATCGAGGGAAAATCTATTTGATTATGTGGAATATAAAAATTTGAATTATAATTTTCCATTCTTTCCAGCGATGATATTTCGTAATATATCCACTAAAAAGGAATATTGTCTTAATCATGAAAATCAATGAATTCAGTAATATAAAATTTACTTAGTAAGATTTAACTATTTAATTTTTCGACCACCTTGAATGTACTTGCTTATAATTAAATTTAATATTTGCCGTTGAATACAATAAAGAAAAGTATTCTAACAATTGCTTTAAATAGCTACGAACAATTTAGATTAACAGATTAAAAGCAAAATATTTAAATTTAATACCTTTTAAATGTCAGGTTTAAATTGTTTTAAATCTTAAAAGAAATTTATTGCTTAAGATTATGTAAATTAATATAGCTCTTTTAATAATATATTTTATATTTTTACCTATTAATTAAAATATTTCGTTATAATTTTAAATAGCTTCTAAAATTTATACAAATTTACCTCTATTACATTAATTCCCTCGACGTTTCTAAACACAACTAAAGTCGTAAACACAAATATTGACAAAAATTATTCAAATAAATCACACACGACTGCTTCAATTAAGTAAAGGTTTCAAGTATATTGATATAAGTAGAAACGTTATATCTAATAATAACTTGTATTTCAAACATCAGTTCGGTTACATAGAATAAAATAAAATAGAAAATGATCGCTTCTAAGAAAAATGTGCAATATTTGTATTTAATTTTATTTAAATACTCATGTTATAATCAAAATCTGACTTTTTTTTTAATACAAGCTGTAAAATTCAAATTGCATAAATTATTATAGACATTAAAAACTTATAAGCATGTAGCATATACATGTATCAAATAAAAATATGATAAATAAGTTATTATAAAGAAGAAATGTACTTATGAATGAAAATAGATGATTATTACTCAACTAGAGATACGATTTGAAGAATTATAAACGACAAGTTTTATAAAATTTTTCCTTTAAATATTTTGTTAAAGATTATTGACTTGAAAAATAATTGATAATAAAAATTCTATTATTACTTTCACAAAATATGATTAAGTAAATATATTTGGTATTTAATATTACAAGTACTCTTTATACAAAATCATTTATTGACATTAATTTGGTTTTTTAAATAAAAATAAAATTAATTTATATAATTAAAATAATACTTTTTCTTAATTTATTACTAATTTTTTTTATGTCAAATATTAATTAAAATCGTGTTTAAAAAGTTCTTTTTATGAATTTAAACCAGACTTTGTTGGCCATTTTATAATATCAACGTGATCATACAATAATTTGTTTTTATTATCAAATAATTTGCTAATTGTAATATTATCATACATTTACTAAACAATATTTTACATTGTACAATACTTATGAAAAATTTTTTTTTTTAATACTAAATATTAATTTAATATTTGCTTAATGCAAATCAATTGCCAAAGATCAGTATTAAATATTCGTTGAAAAAAATGAATATGAATAAATTAATAAATATATACATTATTAAGCATTTCTTGAACTTAAAAAAGCATTAACATTTTAAAAATGTGGAAACATTAAATATTGTCTTATAATCATTATTATAAATATATATGTATATACATGGATATGTATATTATTTATTTCATGTATTTATGATACTATTATAATAAATCGCTTAAACTGATTTTAGTCTTATAATTATAATTAACAATACCTATGAAATACAATAATTACTATAAATTGTAATGTAAAATATACGTACATGTAAAAATAAGCTTGAAACAGAAAGTTATTGCTATAGTATCTGTACAATAATAAATCAAATCTAAATTAAGCATTATAAAACTTTGAAAAATAATTTTACGATTAATACATGTTTTTAACTGTTTACTGGTAAAATTAATCAAATACTTTATAATTTCTATTAAAGTTTTTAAGTTATGCTTTTGTTAAATGGATTAAATTTTCAAATGGATAAACTTTTATTGGCTAATATAGCAGATATACAAAATTAATAATATATTCAACATATTATAAATATAACACACTATATTAAATACATTAATAATCTTTTCATTTGTATTTATTCAAAGGATATTAATATTAATAATAACATTTCTATTTATATTATTTCAATTGACTTTAATAAAATTTTTTACTAACTACTTAGAAAAAGATCTAGTGCTTAAGAAAAATTTCAACTCTAAAATCAATCGTATTAAAAAAAATGATAATGTATTCTTTTGTAACATAATTTATAAATACGTAGAGAAGTATTATAATTAATGTTTATTCCTGAAATCTTAGTATTAAAATCATATTGAATAAAAATTAATTCTAAATCACAATAAAATATTGAAGATTTATTATTCATATATTTGTATAATTTATATTTCAAGAGTTTTTATTTTTTTTATAATTTCCAATATATTCTACTAAATAAATTAAATAGATTTTTTAGATAATTATTTAAGATTACATCATAAAGACACTTATAATTTGAAGGTCTTTTCGATTCTATTTTATATAAAATATATAAAAGTATATCCTAACGTGTTACTTACATGTCCTAGTTAAGTTTAAAAGATTTTATATTCAATTTATTAAAATATTTGCGTAATGTCTCTTAGAAGTGTGTTATTAGATAGCCAATTTGCATTATGAAATGTTAAGTTAAATTTTTTTTTTTATATAATGCTCGAGTTTACTCTGAATATCTTCGATTTCATACAATACAATAAAATATTATATGTAAATAAAATAATCTATTTATTTAAAAAAAATTTTTTTTTAATTTTGAAATCTTCTGAGAAAATTTGTTATATGATAAACAAATATATAAATTTGTATGCTCACTGTTAAATAATAAACACATATATAAATTTTTTATCTTAATCGTTATATAATAAACAAATATATAAATTTAAAAATAGCGTCTATATATTTTATATATACAATTTAGTATGTATATATATATATATATATAAACTGTAACAAAAATTTATTCTTAATAAAATGAAAACATTATTCAATCGTTTATAATTGTTCAAATCGAATTTTATTTTATCCTTATTAATATGTATGCATATACGTGAAATATACATAATTAATTGTTTTTTTTTTTTTTTTTGATAATTTTTATTCAATAATTAACATTTTTACATACACTCGTTTGAAATGTATTGGAAATTTATAAAATTTATGTCAATATCGAATGGAATTTCGTATAAAATAGAGTAATAGTTGTTAATACTTTCATACCTTTATACTAATATAAGGTTGTTAACCATTCAAAAAGCAATTCAATCTTCGTCTTGATACAAATTTCTACGTTTTCTATACAATATAAAATAAATTATATAAAATAAATAGTCGTTTGATTAATTCAACAATTTCATGACTATTTTATTGTACGCGTGTTATTTACAACTGTATATTATTTTCTTCCTTTGACACAATTTTGAATTTTTTTCAATTTTCTTAACGCACATTTTGCTGCTGTGCATTTGGCAATTCTATGATTCCTTCCAATACCTTTAAACGAACCTTTACCAAATACATCTACGGTCACTCGAACTCTTCTACCATCGGCCAATTTTTCTGGCTTGCCAAATTTAGCGGTTTCTGGTTCTAATTCTAATAATTCGCGAATCGGGGATTTAGGTACATTCGCACTAAATTGTTCTATTTCTGATTTCATTATTTTAAAATATACAGTCCACACGGCGTCCAAGGACATATTGCTGTCTAAATAAATAGCACCAGCCAATGATTCAAAGACGTCGCCCAATGCTTTAGGGACTTCGACGTCTTCTGCCTGTTCAGCTTCTTCAAACTCTCTTGCACCTATTAAATAGTATTCTTCGCTAATAGAATGGCCATTTTCCTCTTGAATTCTTACAAACCGATCGATCACTGTATTGAGACCAGGAGATAAATGTCTAAAATACTTATGAAATCCACATCTTACTGCTAGCGACGCAAAAATTATATTATTTACAAGAGCAGATCTCAAATCAGTCAGTGCGCCGGGAGAATGTTGTCTGGAATCTTCGTATAAGTGTCTTGTTATTAAATAATCTAAGACAGCATCCCCTAGAAACTCTAGTCGTTGATAGCAATCGGTAAGATGATTAGGCTGATATGATGCGTGTGTGAAAGCTTGTAATAAGTAACTCCTATTTTTAAATGTATATCCAATAGACTGCTCTAAACAATTGTATCCATCCAACATAATTTCTAATTCATTCTCTGGTTCTGAAATAAAGTAAAATAGTGGGCTTGGTGGTTCCTGTAATTTTTTATAACGCATTTGGGTCCATTTTTTTCGTCCATCTTCGTTAATTCCCTGTACGTAAGGTGTGCTACCTGATGATCTTACTTCTGGTACAGAATCTTGAATCGTAAAAACTTCTTCGGTAGGTAAAACATGAATACCAAGCCAAGTCATGAATAATAAAGCACCTCTAGGGCCACATGCAATCAAATATGCACCGATTAGCGCCTCCACACAATCAGCAATACTTTTATCCGGTATACTATGTTGGGTAATCAAATTGTAAGGTACATACGAGCGGAATTGATCGTTACTTCCAGAATTTTTATTTTCAGTTTGTATAAGTTCGCTCTTCATAATTTCAAGCTTCTGTTCCGTCTCCTTAACGAGTTCGTTAATCGCGTTAAAAGTATCAAAGGGTATATCTGCTTGGCTCCACATAGCCGAAGGTATACCTGATTCTATAAGTACTTGCTCAAGCTCCTTTGGTACATAATAACACGGAGGCAACCAATTATCATGGGGCTCAAATTTGGTGGCTATCATACTTTCACCTAACATTTTTTTTCTACCCAGGCGGTAAAGATTCAGATTACTTACCTGCTTTGAACGTAAGTGACTCAACTTTCCCTCGTGAATATTGTTATAAGTACAAAATAAATATGTAGTAATCGCATATTTGAGAAATGAGTCACCAATTGTCTCTAGCCTCTCAAGATTTATACCATCGTTGGCATTTGACATAGTTAAAGCCTGTAATATTAAGCTGGGACTTGGACCGGAATGCCCATCTAAATTAGGTTGATAATCAAAACTAAAAGATCCCTCGTTACAATGTACAGTTTCTTCTAAAATATCTACTGCCACCGGCTTACTATGTTTTTTAAAGGTAAAATTTTCTATTTCGTGTGTAAAATGATTCGATATGACCTTAACATAATCCTCGTGTTTTCTATTCATTTCATACGTAATCTTACTTTTAACATTTTTTCTTTCAAATGCTACAGCTTCATTGCGCGAAATAAATTGACCCTTATTCAATATTATCAATACATTTTGCTTTACACTTTCTATATGAGTCGATTTGTGCTTTTCATAAAGATCTGTGTCATATGAACCTTGGAAATTCCATACTATAAAATCATTCTTCTCTTGTTGTTCTATACAGCTTATTTTGTACTTTTCGGCTTCAAAGGCTTTGCCTTTTTTGTCAATTGCTTCCGCCACATTATCGCCAGTATAGGCTATCTGCAGGCCCTCGTCTTCGTCGTTGTTCTCGTCAGAACTGTAGTCACCAAAATCATCGCTACAGCTATTATCGGATTGATCGTCATCGAATTCAGAATCGTATGTGGATGAACTGTATCTAATATTTCCCCATTTGAAACTGGGTTGTCCAGCTAAATTGTTCTCACCATTCAAAGGCGACATGTTCATCATCTCATTGGACCAAGTACCTATCTCGAGCTCATCACTACCGGAATCTACATAAGAACTGTCATTTTTTTTAATTTTCTCTTTCAAATCCACGACGTTGTTTTCTTTAGTAATAGAGCAATCGATCACTGGATGTTCAGTCACTTGTTTAACAACCTGAAAAAATACGACATCGTAAACTATGTGTACTAAAAATAAATTGTTATATCACAAAAATTAACTATGCATTATGTAAAATTTAGTAATTTAATCTTATATCTCAATGGTACATATTTCATATTTTCTATAATACGTAATTTAAAACGAGAATTTACAGTAGACACCGAATTGCTTCCCAAATCGCGCATGATAGAATATATAAGGATAAACGCCCTTACATTATTCTTTTCGCTATCCCTCGATTTCTTCAGCACATCCGCAAGACTCCAGCCAAAGTCTAGTGCGGGCCACTCGAAATTCTCTGCCAGAAATTCTTGCCCGAGGGCAATCGCTTGAGCCACTTGGCGACGTATCTGATCAGCCAACAGCAAGGCATTTATTCTGTACAATATACAGGGTAAACAAACTGCCTGCCGCCATAATGACGCCGGAAATGGATGAATCGCGCAGAGCTCTGCTATCAGTATTTGTTTTTGCTCGAGATTCTCGCGTTTAGCTCGCTTCGTTTCCTCGCTACTCGTCGGCAGTGCGACTCCTTTGCGATTCACGTACCTAAATTATCAACTACATTAAAATTGTTTGAAAACGTTGCTTACTTATGTCTCTCGACAAATCATCGATAATAATACGCAATTATCATTTATTTATTATTTTAGAGATGACGAAAATTGTAAAAATTTAGTGAAGAATTTAGAGAAAGAGATAGAAAATACCTCGGTGTAAGAAAGTTGAGACGAGCTGAGGTATGATCGACATCGAGTAGGGGTTGTTCTAAATTTTGAATTTGTATATTGTATTTCGTCAAATAATACTTCTCGAATGTGCTATAGTCGTCGCCAGGGAAGTTGGATTTAGGATTCAGGTGATTGCAAATTTCCGCTACGTAAAAGTACTGCGGCTTATCTTGGTTACGGTACCAAGGCATTATTACCGCATCGTGGTACTTGCTTGAATCGAAGGTGAAATTCCGACGACTTTCTTCCGACATGCTGATGGGCATACTATTACGGCTTGCGTAGATGCGCTCAACGAAATCCCAATCAACGATTACCTGGGATGTTGCCTCGACTTTTTTTACGGGCACGATAATATACGAGTTTTCCGAAGCGTATGGATCGAATAACATGAGATATTTCTGTAGCCTGGAAATATAATCATCTTGAGTTTCGGCTCGATTATTAATCGAATATTTTAATTTAGTATTCAAGTTTCTATTAATTACTTAGGCAAATATTAAAACCACACTGAATTAAAAAATCTTATCTATTAGCAAAAGGATATTAAAAAAATGTGTTATCTACTTTATAAAATTTAATAAATATAAGTTTAAAATCTTAACATTTCAAGATATAAAGTATAAAAAGTAATTCTACCTTAAAACATTGGTAAATGTATAATTGAGGAAAGAGACGATTTTATTTATTTGGCTATTATCCAATATTAAGTATTCTTTGCTTAGTTTTAGATTCACATGGACTTCACCAGATCTTGTATATATTGGGAATGGGCAGACCTTTGGTATTTTTTTGTGTGTTAATATTCCAAATCCAATGTCTGAATCTTCCGGTGGATATATCTTTCTTCCCCTTGTATTTTGCTCCTCTGGCAAAGGGCAACTCAGTATCATATGAATATGATACAAGTAACAAGGTCTCCCTACCTCTGGTTTGCAGCCAGTTAGTGCATCAGCTATTTTCTTGTAATAATACTGTCTACGTTTTGTTGTGCCTGGACGAGCATCCATAATGTTAATTTTCTCATCATCTGGTAATGCTGGTATTTGAGTGTCTTCCGGGTTAGCCTTGAAGTTTTCTTTACCGACTGGTAATAAATTATCATCTATTTCATTTTCTTTGTGCAAATGAACACATAATTGCAAAGCAGCCATTCTTTTTGCCAATGCTTTATTTGGCATTGGATACGAGGATATTGTATATTTTAAAGGTGAATTTATTGGCAATCTCAATGAGCAAATATACATGTTGAAATTCTCTTTGCTAATGGTATGGATTTTCCATTCTGGAGTTAGTTTTGTAAATGTATCACTTGGTAACTTTGCACAGTATCTGAAAAACAAATAAAACGTTAAACATTTTACTTCTTTTACCTTCCATGTATTATAAAAACCCGATTGTTATTTCGTTGAATCATAATTACTATTAAACATTAATACACACTTCAACAATGACTTTATTTGAAGATGATTTATTTTACATAAAATTATAAATAAGTTTTAAAGAAATACATTTTGACAAAATTCTTTCAATCGTGAAATACCTATTCACTAATGAAATGGCAGATTTTGAAGTGACTTTTGGAGCATCTACATCAGGTAGGGGTTTGTACTCTGGTATTAGCGAATCATATACATCCGCTTCGTATTCTTCTAGTTCGCTTGCTTCCTTACTGGAACATTTTGATAATAAAATCTTTTCAATATAATGATAATGAGCTAAATTTTGAACGTATACTCGAGAGTCATTTTCCGGTACCAATAAAACATGCAATGCATCTGTCGCTCTGGCTCTACTTTTACATTGTAAATAAGATTGATAATTTTTGGGAAAATCAAATCTCATAACAAAATTACATTTCGGAATGTCAATCCCTTCTTCTAAAACAGCTGTCGAAATTAATAAATTACATTCATGAATCCGAAATTTTTTTAAAACTTCTTCCTGTTTTCTATATCCTAATTCTATATCTCTGCCACAAAAAATATCGTCATTAGTTTTTTCACTTATATAAAGTGGAGATAAGAAATGAAAATTACTTTCACACATACTCAATTCATTTAATAAATAAAACAATGCTTTAGCAGTTAACGTACTGTCTACAAAGATGACACCACAGAGTAAATCTGGATCAGCCAGCCCATGTGAATAATGAAAAGTTCTTATTTTTTTAAAGCCACCATCACCTTTCTTGTGATAATTTTTAAATGACTTTTCATTAATGTTTTTTTCTTTATTATTTGTTAAATCATATTTTTCATCACTTTTCACATTATCAATTTTAGGAGGCGGTGTAAATGTTTTAAGCACCTCAAGAAGTCTATGAATTTTTGGAGTAGAATATTTGAAAATTTTTTCAGATTCGCTTAAGCCACTGAAAATACCATCACAGTATGCTCGTATTTTCAAAAATAAGGTAGCAACAACACTTAATAAAAGATAATGTCTTTCATAAGGAGTTTTTATTTTAAGTTTCTCTACCAACATTAGCAATATTAATGCTGCTCTATCTGCAGCCCATGGACCAAGTGATTCAAGAATATATATAAATTCATGAATTATTTCACAAGGTTTTTGCGTAGGATTTGGAATTTTTTTAATATCTTCTAAAAATTCTTCGCTATATATCTCTGTCGGATCATAACGATGATCGTTTAAGAAATCCAGAGTAAAGCTTGTACATTCTTTTATAAAATTTTCTGCGTCCTTAATTTCATTAACTTTATACTCTAATATGTATTCATTTGGCTTAGGACTATAACGTAAAATAGATAACAAATCACTAGCTGTTTCTATCTGACACTGAAGCAAAGATTCGATTCTATCTATTTCATAACTTAATTGTCCCGACTCTTGTGTCAAATTGTATAAGGGCACAGCGAAACCAATTATTTTTGTTGCATTATCACAGGATCTAATAATATTTAAAATGCTATTAAGTTCATTGTTTGTAACTAAATTATGACACTTATCAATTATAAGAAAATTAATTTGACTTGGAAGAATCTTTTTACTTATTAAGAGTTCATGACATATATGAACTGTTAAAATTAATATTTCAGTATGATAATAAAATTTCTCATAATTAAAATTTAGTAAATTATTACACTGCATTACTTTCAAGTCTGTAACTTGTTCAATATGATTAGCTTTTGCAGTACACGACTCTTCATCTTCTAGTAAATAAATTGTTCTTTTTCCATTAGAAGATAAAGGTCTTCTATTATTTATTGCTAATTCTTGAATTAATTTAGTAACAATAAAAGTTTGTTCAGCTATTTTACCCAAACAAATTATAATATTTCTTTCTTTAGCGGTATATAAAAGTTCGACTTGATGTTCTCGAGGTGTAAAATTTTTCGTGTAAATAAGATCATTAAAAAAAAAAGCCATTGATAATAATTTAAACACAAATTCTATTTAAAAATCTCAAACTTTATAAATTATTACAATAATATTAAAAAAGATTTATTGATATTATTTTGTTTTCATATGCACAGCCCATTTTACCCTTCCCACTATTATAAGATTAAAAAAACTAGAGTTTTAAAGTATAGTGATTTTTGTAGGAATTCAAAGTTTGATTTTTTTTCCTATTCCCAGATCCGGTAAAAAATTTAGCGACAGAACTAATTTACAATATATTTTGCGTACTTAATAATCAAAAATAAAATTTCATATATAACAAACAATTTGAATAAATTTAATGAAAAAATAACAAGCATCTATTACTTATTATATTGTTCTTTCGCACGCTGAAGCTTATCATTTTGAAATAAAATAATAAATAATTTTTGTACTTTAATATAAAGTATAGTACTTATAAACAAATGTTTTAATGTGTTTAACATATTTTGAAGTGCAGAAAAATATTACGTATATGCAGTATAGTCCATAGATATTTATTTTTTAAATATTTATTTATTTATTTAATATTTATTATTGTAATTTATCCAAGATATTTTTTTTTTTTTAAACAGAGTAAGTACATTGAAGTAACATATTAAAATTAAAGATTTTTTAATGAGATGATAAATATAATGTTCTTGAGTACGCACATGTGTATATACTTTTATATTTATGCGTATACTTTTCTACATATTTAAGAAGCAAAAATTTACAAAAGACTGTAATTAGGAGACTATACATATAGAATTAGAAATTATCTCTATTATTTATATATAAATTGTACGATATACTGGTGAATGTAATTTTTGGCAAAATATATAAATATAATTACAATCAATAAAAATAATATTATGTTGTGCTAATATTTCGTCGTTGATACTTACTATAATACGTAAAGGCGCAACCCCTGAAATAATTGCATTTTAAACATGAGGCGACCTATATATTTTCCTATGCTTTAATAAAATAATAAAACAACTGCATTGTACATAAATCTAATCAATCAAAAGCTACATGAAAATTATAGGAGCATTTCCAAATGGGAGAATTGCGAATAAAGAAATGAAGTACCCAATTAAGAAAACATGTGTGCCAAATATCGTATACATTGCCAATAAATATAGTTTAAAATCACATTGCCTATCACAATTCTGATTTATCATAATTGTAAATATTATTAAAGAATAAATTATATATATACATATGTTCGAAATTAATGAATCTTGGCTCGAACAAACACGCAAATCCAAACTTTATAGGTTTTTGCGCTTCGGCCCTTCCATGTTTTTCCTGTATGCGTAAAAGGTCTTGATGGCGTCACTCTTGATACTGGAAGTTGTCCCATCAATTGTTTGACGCGGATTCCCCTTTGTCGTGCACATATAACGCATTGCAGTATGTGTTTTTTTACAGGGAATCTTCCGCCAAGGATCCAATATTGTTGACGTATGTGCGCTAGTGTGAGTTGAGTGCCTCCGTGGAGAGTACGTAAGTGTGCTTGTTCAATGACGAGATCCGTGAGGCGTGATTGTCGAGGGAGAATGGCTGGGTGTCTGTTTTCCAGGATGAGTAATGCTTCTTCGAGTCTTCCTCCAACCCTGATTACTCCTTGCTTGTCGACGTATGCTGATAGTCGACTGAATGCATGATTCGCTGAACGATGAGACTTGGAGCACAGACCTTTAAGTTCCTGAGGAAAGTATGCGGATTCAGTTGCTTTTATCCAGAAGATCCTTGCCCTTTCCAAGGCTGTATTCATGGTCATCTCATGGTTTTTTCTCAATCATGCGATGAAGACAAAGTGCTGTCCTTCGCAACAATTCTGTGAGAGCTGAAACTTTGTGGATTAGGTCCCATTGATTTCGGGTACTGTGGCTATGAGTACGGTGCTGGGACGTGTTTCTTGTTCGCATAGTTTTTCGTCCAATGCAGGCTGATCTGGCCATGACTCGGGTGACTTCATCCACGATGGTCCGTTCCATCACAGAGGATGTTCTTGATGGTGGGAGGCTGTTATGACTCGTGATGTTACATTAACAATAAGCATTATTCACTGGTAACAGAAAAGTGTAAGCCCTGTCTTGTCTCAATGATGTGGTTGCACCTTGATGGTGACGATGTCGTGGTCTCTGCTAATGTTGTAACGAATAGCAGAAATATGCTCACACTCCAATATGGGACGTGTGGCCTAAAAAATATATATGCATACACGCCTAGCTGCATATGCTATGCTCTAGCCGCATAGTTTCTCGTAATGCAGTCAGCACCCTTGACTGCTTGTTAACTAATCTGCACTGGACAATGACGTTTGTTCCTTCTATAATGGCTTCATAAAGAGAAACTTTTTCTTCCTTGGCGTTCCTATTAAGACAGCATGTTTTCTCGAGGCGTGCTTACCTTAAATATCCACGCGACCGCCTAGTTGGTACTGATAGCAATGGAGGCGATTGTGGTGTTAGAAGCAATAGATGCGATTGCACATTTTATTTTTGGATGTAACAACTTATTACACATAGTTAACACTCGTGAGAGGTTCTCGGAATCTCAAATAAATAATCGAATAAATTTTATATATAAGCTTTGTACTGAATCTTGAATTTTTCTTACATTTCGCAAAATTAATCTTAAATAGACTGAACAGTTAATTAAATTGAACTTAATTAGACTGAATAGGTTTTTGCATATAATAGATACATTCATTGTCTATCATATTTTGATCATAGGTGAACTTGTAATATATTCATAATTCATTTATCACTAAACTTAACTTATTAAGGTCTAATGTAATTGTTATCGATAGATTATGAAATGTATACTAGGGGTTTAAACGATCGATATATTACCCTTGGTAATAGATAAATCAATTACCCTGCAAATATGTAAGTTACCCTGTAAATATGAAAATGTAAGATATTTTGCAATAGCAGTTTTTCGCTGAGCACAGACTTTCTACTAGACAATATTTGATTTTTAGCACATATAATATTTTAACAAAAAAGTTTAATAAGGTAGTCACTTTAAGACATTTGATAGTTTTAATGGATTCTTATAAAAATTGATTCTAAAGCAATATTTGTAAGAAAATATTATATTATCAAACTATTAATTTATGGCTCTCAATCAAGATTCTGTAAATGAAGTTCCGTCCAAAACTACCACCAAGTAATTTTCTTTATTTCTAAGCTTAAATGTTTGTTTTATTAGAATTGATTATATTTTATTATTGCTTGTAAGACATTGTATTGCTCAGTTGATCGACAGTGTATTGCTCTTGTAAGACATAATCTAACTGGGTAATTAGAAATGCCTACCTTTTTTTCATTTAGATACAAGAGGTCTATAACTCGTTTAGTGCATTGTCCTTTATAAGTTATAACTAAATCTTAATGTATAATCGATAATTTCTACAGCATCATAAAAGTATCGAATATAAGAGAAGTTTAAATAACGAATTTTTATGATTTTTCAGATTCATAATCATGAATTGTTCATAGCTATATATACTTTTAAATATTTGCAACATAATTAATTCATACGCATCCTTTTATTACTGATATGATAAAAAATAATATTAATCGGAATCCAAAATTAGAATATTTTAGTTTCTGTAATTATACAAGCTAAATAAAAATATTATATATGTTACCATAAATTAATTTTTTTTTTACGTTATTTCATATTCATATAAAATGACTATTTTTTAGCTTATAAAATATTTAAAATGCGTTATCTTATTTTCCTTTATATTTTTACTATTTTATGTTAAACCCCTAGATTTTATTTAATTATTATAATTATATCTATTTATTTAGCTATATTTAAGAAATTATATGTAATTAATTCAAATTAATGTTATATAAATATTCATTTAAAAAGGTTAAATAAATATAACTTTTAAAGTTTATTATAATTATATACTGCACTATATAAGATTTTGTATTATTAATAAATATAAAATGTAAATCAACAATTTTTTAATGTTATAAATACTATATAAGTTATAAACAATTACAATTATCGATTTACAATATGAAAAACGTTCAACAATTATTTGCGTCTGAACTTTTGTAATTTTAATATTTCAATTTTTGTGCACACAAATATCAATGACATTATTGTTTATGTTTATAAATAATAGTATACTTTGCTAGATAATAATTCCCACTATAAATATTTTATAACATTTTATTCATATAATATATCTTTTTACACATATAATTTTCATTATAATAATTAAGTGCATATAAATATAATTACACTTTTTTTTACCATTTTTTACAATAAATATTTTACATCAAAACTTATATTATTAATAAACTGTATTAAATAATATTAAATTACATTTGTATTTTGTATGGATTACACTTTTTATTAAAACCATAAAATTGTAATTTAAAAATAATAGATGTTTTATAATTAGTTTAAACTCATTTTGATCTAAATACAATTTTCACTTATTTTAATGTCTTTAACAATTATTGCTAAAAGAAGTTAAAGCTACAAAAATTTCTTGAGTTTCACGAGTTTTATTCAATCTTTATTTGTAATTTGTGAAAAATATTTATGATTTTCCTGGTGCAATTAAGGAAAACAAAGATTAATCTAAAAATAAATTATTGTTCTATAAAAAATTAATATTATATAACACAAACTATGCTACACAAATACTACGAAACTTACATATTTACTGGAACTTAACTACAGCTTATACTGCAGCTATTACATACTTTTTACATATAAACTAATAAAAATAATGGGATTTATATTCGAATTATTTTATAGTTTTAAGAAACATGAATTCACGATAGCGTAAGTTTCTTTTACATTGCAAATTTAAACTAGATAAATATGAAATTGCACAGATTACAATCATGACATAATAATATTTATAATTATATACAGTAAAAAAATACTTATAATTATGTACAGAGTTTTTATCTCTTTCTACTTTATCCGTTAAATTAAATTCTATGAAAAATATGTTAATACAATATTTTATTTGAATCATCACAGCACTTAATTACGCAATTACATTATTTAACGATCTTAGATTACTATGTACAAAATATATAATGCATTATATCTTAACTATTATTAATTAACGGAATTTCGAGATCTAACCCCGTGGGTGAGTTCGTGAACTTGTTCATCATTGAATGCAAATTCTAAACTTAAATCAGATCCTTCTCCTTTCGTATACTCAAAATCAAATGATCTCTCCACTGCAGGGGAAATCTCTTCGGCCCAAGATCGTCTACTCCTATTAAATAATTCGGACCCTACTCTACGAACTTTAACGAAAGTACTCTTCACAATACTAGTGCCTGAATTTTTTTTCCTTGCAGGACAACTTTCTAATCTTCTATAGTGGTCCATAATCTTTTCTTCGAGCTTTTCCTTCTGCCTATTAAGGTTAATTACTTTGTCGTTATTTTTACGCTCCTCCATGTGATAATGCTCCTTATCCTCTAACGACTGTTTGATTAATTCATGATTTTGCTCCAATAAGTGAGAAACATTATCCATCAAAGATCTTTTATCTTTGTCCAAACTTTCATTGATTTGCATCAATACATCTATACGATGATTAAGTTTGACGATCTGCTGTTCAAGATCAACTATCTTTTCATTTTTTGAATCAAGCTTACTTTGGTAATTTGTGTAATTCGTTGCAATCTTCGTAAATTCGGATTTTATTTTACGATATTCGGCGGTTACAGAAATATTTGCTTGATACAACTTACTAAAATCCTCTTTCAATTCAGTATGCTCTATTTTATTGGATTTTAAAATGTTGCACTCTTCTTCTAAATATTTACACGTGGATTCAAGATTTTCAATGGATTGATTGTAAAATCGAAGTTTTATTTTTGCATCTTTTAATTGATTTCTCAACAAATTTCTTTCTTGCGCTACTCTCTGATAATCGCTATTCAGTTGATCATTAATCTCTTGATTAAAATCGTTCTTCTCTCGGGATTTTTGAATAATTTCATTTTCAGCAATTAATTGGCCGTTGACAAATTTAAAAATAGTTTTTTGATTTTCCACATCAACAGAATCAATATAATCTTGAAATCTTACCTTTTCTTTACCATCTTTCATAAAATTTGATACTTTATCATCTTTTTTTGTTTTATTTGGTGACTTGTTAAACTTTATTGTATTGTACGAATTGTTGTCAATTAAATCTATAATATTCTTAGAGTTAGTTATCTCCAAAGCAGATTCATCCACTTGTGCTTCTAGTATTTTCAGTTTCTTTTCAAGATTTTGAATTACCTTCGAAGCATTGTCGAGTATAATTGATTTGTCCTGTACTAATTTACGTTGTTTTTCCAATTCGATTAAAGCAATATTCTTTTCTGTCTCCAGTGCAATGACTTTTGATTCTAAGTCTTTTTGTTTAATTTTGGTCTCATTTACGACATCTTTCATAACCTTCTGTTCGTTTAGTCTCTGATCTACATCAATTGCACTACGCGGGCAATCCATCGATCGTTTCTGCTTAATTTCCAACAAAGCTTGCAATCGTTTCTTTTCTCTCACGACGATAGCATAGTTTTTCTCTAAATTTTCATATTTTAATTGTAAATCGAGCAAATTTTGTTGCTCAGTACTATCTATCTCATCCATTTTTTTACAGTCGCCTTCAAATTCCTCATGTTTTTGAGATAATTTTCTCAAATCTTCTTTCAGAGCATCAACGGTCAGGGAAAGCTTCTTCTTTTCCTTTTCAAGATCTAAAACCTTTAAAGAATTCTCGTAAAAAGAATTTTCCTTTAATGAATCAACAAGCGTCGAGAGTCGTCGATTTTCAAGTTCGAGTTTCAAAGTTTCCGATTGTGCACTAGTAGTCAATTGTTCGGATAGACTGTTATCTAAGCAAAGTGAGAAATCCTCAGAGTCTAAAATGAAACCATTTTCAAAGACTTCTTTTGTGTTTTCTTTCACAAAACGTTCTGAAAATGAAGGGTTCCCATTAGTGCATATTAATTTATTTAGATTGTTTTATACTTTATTGAAATTGGATATTAATTTTTAAACTAGGTATTAACTTTAAATTAGTTAAAACATAGGAATAAAAATAATTTATATAAAAAAGAATTATTAAAATTCATTACCTAATTGATTTTTTTCTTCGCATATTTCTTGATATTTTTCCTTATTAGCCGCGTTTTCCAATAACAAATCGTTCAACTGCTGTTTAAGTTTAAACATTTGTTGATCAAGATCTAAAACTTTGTCGGCCTTAGCCTTGTAGGAGTTCACTTGTTCCATTAACACTTCCTTGTTCTCGAGGAGAAGTCGATTGTGCTGTTGTATTTCTTCTAACCGAGTCTTATAATAATCGATGCATGACAATTTTTCCTTATACCGTACAATTTCCTGTTCGAGTCGATCGACCTTTTCAATTTTCTCGCTCGCAGCATCCAATTCATCACGATAAGACTTTGCATTTCTAGCCTCTGATACTGTTTCAAAAAATTTTTTTTCATTTATAAATACAATCTATTAATTACAATGAATCAGAATGAATGAATCAGTCAGAACGAATTATTAAATAAAATAAGATCAATGTATTTCCAATTTACAAATACATAATCTTATATTTTTAATATGGATGAAAAAGATATTTGCTTCATATATAAGTACTCTATTAAAATGTTTAAAATGTAATTCAATGTATAGTCTAAGAAATAATCAAAATTTGATATTAATGATTTTAATAATATATGCTAACGTAAGCAAAGAATTTTGAAAACTAAATTTCCTGCATAAATTGGAAATAATGAAATATGTAAATATATAAAAGTGGGGATTAATTCAAATTAAATGTAAACTTTTAATTAATAAATTGACAATTAATATCGAGTAAATTTTATTCAAATTTTATTGTTCGTGATAATGAAATAATAGGTAAATAAAATGAGTAAAAGAAGATAAAAAATTACATTTTTATATTATAAGTGCAAACAAAAGCAGTTGATATTAACTATAATTTTATTGTAAATTTACTTTAACAGATAAATAAACAAATAAGAATCATCTGCTAATTAAAAATATTGAGCCATAAATCCTAATTTTTTCCATAATTATATCCATAATTATTCAATTATTATAATTAATTAGTTTCTACGTAAGCTATAATTGAATTACATTATCCAAATTCTTAGCTAAACAAAGTACTTAACTATCTAGTTCGTAAAACCAGTTAGTTATATTTATCATTCAATCGATTTCAATTTAAGAACAAAATTTTAATCTAGCAGTTTTTGCATCTATATTTATTACATTAACCATTGTAAATATATATCATCTACTAAATATTTTAATTTATAACCAAAAATTAGTTTTATCATTTGTTTGACCTACGATTAAGTAATTCTATTTTTACAAATGTTAGTACTAAAAATTTATAGCTTATGTAGTACCTAGTCTCTCATTCTCCTTCATTAATTTGGAAAGTTGAAACTTGCAGTCCTGTAGCTCATCCTTACACTCTTGAAGATCATCGACCTTCTCCTTGAGCTCTTCTCTTTGTGCTCTGACTTTAGATTTCCATTCAAGAAGCTCGCCTTCTCGTTTCTGGGTTTCCTCGCGATCGGATCTCGCTGAGTAGTTGAGCAGCTCTTGAAGGCTATTTAGTTCATCCTCCTCGAGTATCATGGAGATGTCTTGGTAGGTAGTGCCGATCTCGTTATGACGAGCAAGACGTACAGCATTGCACAACTTATCTCGATACAAATTTCGTTCCCGATAAATCATACGCACGTTCTCAAAGGCCCTTTGAACATTATCCATGTCGTTTAAATCATGATCTTTGGCTCCGCTGGACCTTAACATGTCTATACTCAATACGATGTCCGGTACATGCACCACCTGTAACCAAATATTTTATGTTTTCATTCTAAGTTGCTTATATACGCAAATGTGTCCGTAATATCTACCCATTTATGCTCACCTTTCTTTCTTAAATTTGATAGCTTTATTACATTGTTTGTATTGAATTATTCTTCCTTTTTTTTACATATTAATGAGTTATTTATTCGACAAATATAAATACTTTGTTCTTTTTATAAAATAATAAGTTAGAAACAATTACTTTATTTTTCAAGTTTTTGTCCATCAAATTTAAGGAACGATGCATAAAAAATTTCTTATTAATATTAATAAAAATAAGTAAAAAACATGGGAATTCCTGTGCGTCAGTAGTTGTCTCGTTTTAGATTTATAATTAATATATAGTATTAAACTATTATAATAAATTATATTTAAACAAATGCGTTAATAAATTAGAAATATTTAAAATAAATTATAATTTAAGTATTTATAATAATGTAGTTTACTTAAATAAGCAATTTGTTTAAAATTTTATTGTAATTGTACTCATTTTTAATATTATATAATTGTAATTTAGAAGCTTGGTGCTTTTATTAATATAAATTATAAATTTATTTATAGCTCAGTATTGCAGTTGAATATTGAAATCTAGTTTCAAAATTTTTAAATTTTGAAACGCGTAAGAGAATGTGTACAATTATAAATCCAATCAGCAATAATAATTTGTGTTCGTTAAACTTCTAATTTAAATTTATTCGAAAAATTGAATTACTTGAGCAATACAATCAGCAATCGCAACTTGAGTCGCCTCATCCAGTTGCTGGATTTTGCTGATGAAATGCTCATTGTTAGGACATTGAACGGCGCAGCCAAGCAACAGACAAAGCAGAAGCTTAGCTCCCTGCACGTGGAGACGAGGGTTTTTTGCAAGATGAGGAATATCGGGAAGACGTAAAATTACGTGACCAAGCTCTTCCTCATAGAATAATCGAACATTGCCCAGAATTTGCGTAAGGTTGTGTAGTCGAATTGAAGCATCATTGCCCGACGCTGATATATCGCTATTCTGAACATGCAAATCCCTGAAAAACATGGCATATTTATTTTTATTTTTTTAAGTCAATTTGTTTTAATCATATTTAATAATCTAATTGAAATCACTATCAATTTATACAGTTTATTTTTGTTTGTTGTCATTCGTCTACAAATTTATTATAATTAATACGTAATAATGATCGTGGCCACTATATAACTGAAATAATAAAAACATATGATCTGTTATTTAACAGAATAGAAATAATTTGAATGTATGTACATAATTTTTATTTATAAAATTTAATTGGTGCATCATTTCAACGCTAATTTACAATTTGCAATTTTCAATTTTCAATATTTTACAATTACTGTGCATAATTCACTGACTGTTTTTATGATTAATTTGTATTCGAAAGCAATATAAAATTACATTTAGTCTCGATCATCAAATGAATTTAATTAAAGCGTTCAATATCAAACTATTGTATTAATAAATTATTAGATGTATCAGTTATTTTATAAAATAGATTAAAATTGAATTATACAATTAAACTAGCAACAATTACGTATTGTAAGAATAGTTAAAATTTGCATAGTATAGATACGATATACTGATATTTATTATGTATGATAAGAATCGATAGAAATAATTTTTTAAGTATCCACATATCATTAGGATTCTCATAACATTAGGAAAAGATAACGGAAACAGAATAATTCTTGAAAATATTTTGTTCATGTAAACTAATTATTGAACTTATTGATAATAAATTTATATTAATAATAACATAAATTGTATTAATACATATTTGTATTAATAACATAATTTATATTAATAATAACATAAATAAAAATAAATGTTTACTGTTCTAGTTATATATATTATAAAAAGCTTCATAAAATATTTTAAATATTTTGTAAATAATTTGTAATAATGTTAATATTAAGAAAAAATTATTGAAATTATTACATTATTGAATACACAAATTAAGGCAGACATTTATAGAATATATAACCATAATTTAATTATATATTTATATATTATCAATTTTTAATAACTATAACTGTTGATACATATTTATTTACACAAGTGAGTAAATGTAGCTAAAAAAATGTTTTATTTAAACTAGATATTGTAAAATTATTTTAAATATTTCAAATTTGAATTAAATATAAAATGGGTATAAAAAAAATTATTACAATTCAATGAAACAAAGTATTTTCAAACAATGCATACGCATATTTATAATTATATGAATAGCAAAAATGTTTTTGAATGCACGAATAAATATTTGAAATGATAATGTCTATTAGATTTTCATGAGAAGATTATAGATAAATGTAATCGTTTATTTCTTAAAATATTTATATATATTTTTTTAATTAACATTTTAATCAAGAAAATTAAATTAATTAAGATATTATCAAAGGTATAAACTTACATTCGAAGAAAAGCATCGTGAATTAAAACACCATCCACTAAATCCTCGTAAGTAAGTTTTTCATCAGCAAATGATTCAAAATTGCTTTTAAACTGTGAAAGAAAACAATATATTTTTATTATATGTTCTAATAGAATGATTACTATTTGAATCAGAAATTTCAAGAAAATACACAAAAAAATTTTTCTTTAATTAATATTGCCCAAGATAATAATTATCTATTCAATGCCATATTTTTAAAAATATTTATAAATTGATGACACGTATAACATTTTACTTAAAACCCGTAGCATGTATATGAATTTTGCTTACCCAAGTAACTAATGGGCCGTTTAAAAATTCGTCAACTTCTGATACTCCCATGACTTTGGCTCCCATGACATGGAATTCACTAAAAATGAATTAATTGCTTTTATTAAAATAACTATTATAACATAAAATATAAAAAATATTTATTGATATTTTTATCAATGTTAATGAACTAGTTTATAATAGCTCTAGATAACAAAAAAAACTTAAATTACAAATCATACTGACCGCAATATATAAAGAAAGTTTAATAATCAATAAAATTTAATAATCTAACGTTTATGAGTGAAATAGAAAGTATTTAATACAAAGCATGTGATGGATATATGAAAAGTATTTATTTTCAAATGATTGTATTATAACAATGCAAATCCATTGGAAATCTCGCTAACCACGAAATATCTGTCGTATATAAATTATCGTAACGAAATTTTCCCCTTTATATATACAATTATTTAAGATTACAATAAAATAAATTTTATTTTATTTGGTTTATTTTCCTATTAAACATTATTTAATTCAATCAAAGTAATGCCAAATTTTAGTGTTTTATTAAATTATTTGTTTTGTATTTACGAAAATTATGAATTTTAAACGATATAAGTAAAACTTTCAAATCTTAGCACTAATTATATTTTTATTTAATAAGTTATTATATTTTTAAAGACTATATGCGCTAGAAAAACATTTTTCATTTAATTATTACAATTTTTTTTTTTTGTTCTAAATTTAATTAAACCAAACAGTAATTATAGTTATAAATAAAAATATTATCGAAATGTAATACTTATGTGTTATGGAAAATTATTTAAGTAGAAAGAAAAAGAAGAAAACAATAATTGAATTAAAATTATATTTTTATATTTTTATGATTTTAGAGTTTAATTCTACAATACTTGAAATCATATTAATGAAATGGAATTATTATTTTAAGAAAGCCATATCGCTAATAATTTTAATTAGAAGTACATGAATGAGTAAAACAGAATAGATATAAATATCGAACCCATACATTATTTTTTAATACTCACCATGCAAATTATTTTAATAGATCAATTTATGATACGTCGAGTAAAAATTATGCAGAATAGTACACTTCAACAGCGAATATCCCTTTAAGTATTGCAGCACAGTATTTGATGTATACTATATCGAGTTATGTATCGCTCAGTGTCTCTCACAAAACTGCTATGACACCTTGTTAAGCCAGGCAAGGTGCATGAGAAAGCAAGTGATGCGCATATTTCGTATGTGTGCGCTGTCCCTTTCTCAAGGTATAATGCAAAATCAAGGATAAGCACGTCCAGTTTTGCCTAACGCTAGGCCTATCGGCAGGCCATTGGAAAACAGGATCAAGCATATAATGATGCGAATTACGGGAACTCGATAATTCCAGTATTGCACCAAGATAAGCAGGTATATAGATTTAGGTTCTTAGTGGCTCCTTAGAAAATCACAAGTTTAATTTATTTTCTTTGAAACGCGTGGAAAGGTATCCTTTATGCCTTTTGCATTTGAAGTTTGAGTATAAATAAGTATACGATTACCTAAGTAGCCAAAAATCTATTTGAATTACTCGAAAGTATAATACTTTTTAAAAATTTTTTTTTGCATAATATTTGTAAACTGAATAAATAAACATGTATTATTAAAATGCTCACATATAATATGTATTTGAATATATTTGTTTTTAAATTTGTGCCTATAATTCAATTTAAATAACAAATAAATAACCATTTATTTATACTTATATTTACGTAAATCATATGAAAGTAAGGTGGGATATTAATGAAAACTGAAAATATTGTAAATAAAAAAATTAATTAATTAATTAAAACGTTGTAATTTATTTTAAGTAAATATTATTTATTAAAAAAATTTCTATGCATCTAAAATATTTTACATACAAATTATAAAAAGTATTCGTACAAATATTTACTATACAAAATATATATTTAATAACAAATGTGATTTATTATTTAAGTATCGCTATGTAATAAAATATATTTTTAAGTTTGAATTTTTCTCTTATAAAAATATCTATATAAATCTTTTAAAACGTATTAACAAAATATATTTTTATTAGCTTTTTATTCGTTTGTAAATTGCGGTTGTCGTTTCTCGGTGAAAGCCTTCATTCCTTCTTTTTGATCACTCTAAAATTAATCAGAAGATACAAAATAATTAAAATCGATAGCATTAAAAGCGGTAAAAAGTGGTTTGAAAAATAAATTATGTCACTTACAGTTGCAAATGTACACCAAAATAATCTTTTTTCATAATCCAAACCTTGTTGCAAAGTCGTTTCGTACGCTAAAAAAAATATATCAATTTTTAAAAATGATTAGCATGATAAGCATAAAAATTAAACAAAGCCTTTTAATTTATATTTGATCAATTACAATATATAATAATTTTTCAACAGTTGTTTTATTTATAAAAAATCTCGCGTTACGTTGACTTTTTGATTAATAATTTAAAAACGGTTACATACTTTCAGTCATTTAATAATAATAATTTTTAATTATTGATTAGTAAAATAATTGATTTATTTACAAGATTAATAACATTGTTCCTATCATCGCCTGGGCATCTAATATGTTTTTATTAATTTTCTTAATATAATACTGCTTTTCAATCCCTAGAGCTGTTAATAAATATTTAAAGGGACTGCTGCTATGTATGCCACATTTTACGCACAATTCTTAGATCGTAGCAGTTCGTTTAAACGCACTCCAGTTATGAATTGACTGACCGCCGACCGCCAGCAATTGCGAACAATACACACGACAAAAGCTAAGATGAAAGGTGGCTCAAGTGCATTGCCGGTGATTTATTAAATATTGTGATCCCTGTTCAAGGGGACGACCGCTCGCATGGTGAGCCATAGGTTAGTCGTCAATGGTGATTGGAATATCGGTGATAATGTCCTCGAACATTTAAAGCTTCGACACGATGAAATACAGTACATTAAATATTTCCTAGGAAGTGGCTGGGGGTTGGGGGGCGGGCTTACAATACCATATGCGCGCGTGCACGCACACACGAACACACACGTTGGTTCGTTCAGTGAATCCCATAATACATCATAGGCAATAACCGGGACAGATGCAGCAACGAATCGAGTGGCTTAATTAGGGGTATGAGTACCATATATAATCCGCGTCCCACAAGTATGCGGGACACCCGGTTAAAAGGAAAACCATTGGAATGTATTTCAAAAGACACAATAATGCAATACAGTTATTTACGGAAAATCTATTTAAGCAATTATCGTTTAAATTTAAGCTCGTTTTGTTCAACGTATTCGAAATCCCGCATTATTGGACATTCTTTTTAGTTGTTTATCAATTTATTAATTTAGCAATTATTATTTACTAATTTATTGGGAATTTTAAAAGGTTGTTTGTTTTTCACAAAACTATTCTCATTCACCATTTGCATTGGAACGATAATGGTGCATGATGTACGGTAAAATCACTAATATTACATATACCTATTAATATAAAAGCAACGATTTTTAAATAATAATAATTATTACTGTTATTATTATTATCGAATATGAAAATATATTACTGAAATATAATAAATACTGAAATAAACACATTAAAGATCAATCATTGAACTATAGAAAATACGTATAAATATATATTTCTATAAAAACATTTTCAAGCATATTTATTATATATTTAAAGTAATATTTATAAAATATTCATAGATTTATTCTTATCTTCTGATTATTTAATTGTTATAAAATTTGTATAATTAATGTATGCTTTGGAACATAATATGTTTAATATCCGAATACTAATAATATCGCGAAGAAAAAAAAAGGAAAAAAAAATTTTTAACCTATTTTAAAAATGGTTGAAAATCATAAGTATACAATACCCGTTGGTTTATTGTTAAACAAAATTTTAACTTAATAATACTAATGAGCTTAATTTACGTTGTATATAACTTAGGCATGAATTTAAATGATTTATGCGACTTTAGTGCCAATACGTATTAGAACATTAATTAAAAGTTTTATATCTGCTTTGTAATATAACATAATATTTATGGGTACGATGTAAATTAAATTAAGAATTATTTCTTATACTGTCTGTTTTTAATAAATTGAAATTTATATTTTTCCGTTTAAGTATAATGCATGATGATGTCATTAAAATCGACTAACTTAATAATGTAAATTAAAAAATATTTTTTCACTGCCATTATTTTCTACATAATTTCCAGATGAAGCACTACTAATAACAAAAGTCGAATTATTAAAACATTCTAAAAATAAACTAAAATTGATTTTTTAAAAATTACAAATATTAACAAGATTTATTGAACAAGAAGCAAAATATTACAAAAAAAAAAAAAAAAACTATTAAAATTGATTTTTTTTAAATTTTGATTAATTAATTTTGATTATTAGTTAATTAGATTTATACGTTATAAAATTTTTTAGTCTTGCGTGTCTCTATGTATCGCGTAATAACAATCATACATATTTTGTTGCAAAATTGATTACATCAACATTAATTTTTTAACGCCACTACACTTTATTACGATAATTAATAATTGAACCAATTGACGCTGTGAATAAATTATATAAATATAATTAAAATATAACTAAAACACATAAGCAAAATGCTTTTAACGTTAATAAATTCGATATTACTTCATTACTTCAAAATCTTGCACTACACGATCCGTGCAAATACCATATATTTCTAAGAATGTCGGTCATAAAATTGGAAAGCTAATAACTTATATAGACCTTAAGTTTGAACCACACGATTATGTTAACTGCTCTATATATGAAGATGGTTCACATAAGCTATCTTATCTGCTTTCTCTACATAACCCAAAGGCTATTGTTAAAAATCCTAATAGACTTCTGTTTCTATTTATCTTCGGCCGAATTGCTGTGCAAATTTCGAATCTTATTCCAATACGAATTGGATTTCGCAGCATTATCGTCAAATGTGATATAATAAAAGTCCAAAGCTTTAAAGTCTGAATTTTATCTTCTTCTTATACTTCAATATTAATAATTCCTGTATTTAATATCCTTTTCCATACCTTTATTAACGGAGTCCTTGGCCAGGGCGAGAGCAATGTGGGAGTGAGAAGCGATCTTCTCAGCTAGCTTGATAGCTTCTGAAATGAGTTGCTCGGGCGGGAAGATCTTGCTGACGAGACCGCTGCGCTCAGCTTCCTGAGCTGAGAACTGCTGACCCGTAAGGACGATCTCCATGGCCTTACTCTTGCCAACAGCCCGAGTAAGCCTCTGAGTACCACCGGCTCCAGGTATCGTACCAATCGTTATTTCTGGTTGGCCGAACTTGGCCTTATCGCCCGCGTAGATTATGTCGCACATCATTGCCAACTCGCAACCACCACCAAGCTGAAAGCCAAGAAATAATTATTAAATTTAAAAAGTAACATTACACTTGAAAATAAAAGTCATTGATGAAATTTGATTTTGCAAACATTTTGCTTAAATTTATGGGCGCAAGCTTTTAAAGGCGAAGCGCAACGCTGCACTTGCCTCTGCATGGGTTTCGAAATAATTCACACACCAATAAATACTACGTTACAAGTTAAGTGAAAACATTTTTATTATCACACGGTCATAAGAGAAAAGAAAAATGAAGGAAAAACATAATTATTATTGTATTTGAAGACATGAAAGGATAAAATATACGTTATCGTGAGTAATCGATCGATAGATCGAGGGCATTAAGCCTACCTAAGCTCAAGAAAACTCTTACCGCGTAACCGTTCACAGCAGCGATCGTGGGCTTCCGAGCTTTGGCCAAACCATTCCAGTGATTGAGGAACTGGTTAGTAACATTTTGCGAGTACGTGTTACCGCTCATCTCCTTGATATCGGCCCCGGCGGCGAAGGCCTTCTCATTGCCGGTGATGATGACTGCACCCACGCCCACATCTGCATCGAACTGCTCTATTGCTATATTCACCTCGTGCATCAGCTGAGCACATAGAGCATTCAGGACCTTCGGTCTGTTCAGCGTTATTAAGCCCACATTCTGCTTCAAACCCGCCTTCTCAACTTTCAGGTACTCGTACGTTGGTATGGCTTTTGTCATTAAAATTAGAATGTATAAGTTAGCTTTCTCGAAAGATCGAAGCTTTGAGAAGCTTATTACTCGCAGTTACATCGTATCTCTATGCTAATACGTTTTTTTTTTAAACAAAATATAGCATTGCTTGAAGGCTATTCTTCTTTTGGCAGACAAATTTATATATTCAAGTTTTTTTTTTCAATTCGAACAGGGAGCGATTTTTGTCTTACTTGTACATACGGTTTAAATTAATGTAATAGCAAGTTAGATATTGTTTATAATAAAATTAAAATTTATTTTAAAAAGTATTAATTTCAACAAAACAACAACAATAACAATATGGGCCCAGGCGATTTTATGTCAATGTACGGGATCACATGATTTAAGTACAGAATTATTTTCATTTTATATAATATTAAGTCTATCGATTTATTTTCATAGAAGCTACTTTTCATTATAAACTTTAAATTTTATTTTAAAATATGAATAATGTTGATAATTTCATTAGCTGAATATACTATTTTACAATAATTATTAGTTGCCTGCTAGTTAGAATGAGTAAATATACCAATTTTCTAATACACTAAAAAAAACTATATAGTACAAACTCATTTTTTAAGTTAGAACAATAGTTGAATATTAATCGAAACTTTTATATATAAATTATTGTGTCCTAAATCGACCGTTATTATATAAAGTTACACGTACAATTACAAACATACCTTACGTATTGTTACAAATTTCAATTATGATTATTTTATTATGATTACCATTCATTATAGTTTTTTACAAGATGTTTATTGATAACGACAAGGGGGCATAAAAATTTTATATTTTAAAGTACTGACTTTATATTTAACTTATAAATATTATGTTATGTTGCTTTAAATTAGATACTCAACGTATTTAAATAAAAAATCCATTTATCAAGAAAGATAAATCATAAAACTTTGTGTTGGAGTTCAATTGATTATGATTTATCTTATATACTCTAAATCTTATCTATAGTAAAAAAATGCAAAAGAAGTCCAATGATATAAACTATAAGTTACAGAATATAAAATGTACTCTTTTTGTTATAAACATTGTATTGTATTGAAGGAATACATATTATTAGTAAAACATACGTAATCCTCATTTAATGTAAATTTAAAATTGAATATTAGCTTGGAGAAATTATGAATGCCAATCGACAAAAATATCGAACTCTGTTCAATATGGCAAGATAATGTTTTAAACTTCTAAGAATTAATTATAGATAAAGTTTTTAGTTGATCGATTTAATTTAACTTACCCGAGTAAAATTTTGGAGTCTGCAAGGAGTAATTTGCATTTTTGAGGAGATTGGATACCCGGCCGGCGAAAATTCGACTGATAGATGGATTCACCATTTTTTCCAAAAGCTCACGTTCTAGAATATATATATATATATGTGTGTGCGTGTGTGTGTGCGTGTGTGTATTAGGATCGTAAATAGCTCCGCCAGAGGATTTGATATCACAAGTGCTTACCTATAGTGCTTACGTTAGTAGCAGATAAGTAAATAAAAGTATTTAAGGAACGTTCCGTCTCTGACTCTACATGTACTACTATATAATGTACACATAACCAATTTATTCAACTGTATTGTCCTCGGCATTGAATAGTTTAGCAACAGATGGGATGCAAGTCACGATAGTAAAAGAATAAAGGTTGCTCCACATTTGTTAGTGGGATACGAATAAAAAACATTAGTTAACAATTCATGAGCAAACCACTTAATAAAATTATAAAAATATAAGATGGAACACTAAAAATGATTATGTATTTTAAATATGAAATAAGAGTTGATAAATACTGTATTAGTAACGATAAGCATCAAAAGATAATAAAAAAATATTTAATAAATTAGTAATATTAAAGCAATATTATTTATAAAAGAAGATTTAATAAATAAGAACGCATCTTTGATATGTGAAATTTCTCTGTGTAAAATATAAATTATCAAAACTTCAATATCAAATTATTTTCAAATAATATGTTAATAAAAATATATTGGTCTTAATATCGAAATTGAAAACTTATTTCAATTTTCTGAAAGAAACAAATTAGAAGATAGATAATCTGAATTCGTATTTAAAACATTAAATACATAAAATGTAATTAATTAAAATTTTACTGTTCTAAAATATTTCTATTAAAAATAGATCGATTATCTTACAGGTTGGATATATAATGATCAATATCGCCATTCTGGAATTACCATTATTTGATTTGAAATGCCGCGTTTTTCTACGAGCCATCGTAAAGCAACAATATCTTGAATGCCGTTGTCAATCACCAATGCCAATATTTACATGAAAAATATTTGCAAATATTTCTTTCTTTCGCGGTTTAGAAAGAAAGTCATTCAGAAAAAATAGAAAATATTGCTAATAATAGTCACATCCCGTATTCGTGAATCCGGAAGTAAAGAACTGTAACTTGATTCGCCATATTATATTGTCGACCATTTTTGTATGATGCCACTTTTTGACGACTCGCCATTTTTGTCCGGATTTGTAGTTGCCGAAAATATCATTTACGAAGATCCCTAGTAGCTCGATAATTCGACGGCTGCACATGTGCGGCACATGCGCAGCTGAGTGTCGGTGTTAGTCGCGTGGGTTTTTGCGTATAATAGGAAGAATTACCAAGTCGATAGCTTTATGTGAGTATTTTGCAAATATTGTTTTTTATTGTTGTTAAGTATTGAATTAGCAGTCATATTCTAAGTGTAGGTGAATTTCGAACCATATAAATGAAATTTGACCTTGCCGGATGTTGATTATTGAATAAAATTAAGCCTAACCTCTGTGCGTCTTGGAGGCGTCTATTTTACTAAATTTGACGTTATGGAGATTTGGAGGGAATTTGATGACCGCGTTATTGCTTATTCAACATTTTTTACATTAATTTCAGCATTTTAGGAAAATAGAATTTTCTTATAATAGTTTTTATTACCAAAGCCGATGAATTGTCGGTAAGTCAAAGTGTAACCTTTAAATAACGCCCAAGCGTCCTTGTTTCGCAGTTTTGATTAAAATTCCCATTTTCTGTATTTCTCCTAATAAAGTACCGCGTATGTTGCCTTACTAGTGATTGAAAAAAACACCAACTAACATGATAGTATAATGGTACAAATTTTTTGCTTTTATATTATTTTTAATATCTTGTACTAAGATATTAAAAATAAACCTTTTCTTGTTATATAAACACAATTACATTGGTTTTAAATTGGCACTTAACATATAAAATGCAATATAAGTGAATTGAACCTTATTTATATTTTCTGACTATAATAATAATGCGTGATGTTTTCTATGTAACCTAAATGTTTTTACAAATCCTGCTTAAATCTAATATCTTACTTAAGATACCAATCGGTAATCAATCTTATTTATTAAAAAAAATTTTACATATATTTTATTCATATATTGATTAAAAATATTTTACGATTATATTTAAAAATTATATTTTCAGTTCCATAAAATTGACAAGATCACAATCATTTACTCCATTAAATTTTAGGTTGTAATATATATATATATATATATATATATATATATATATATATATATATATAAAATTTATAAACATAGTACAATGATCATTAATTAGTATTAGATAGTTTGTCTTCTACATTGTATTATGTCTATTGAATAAATCATTAAAGTACTAATTTTATATTAATTAAAAAATATTTTAATAATAATATTTTGTAATTGTTCGAATTAATAATGAATATATTAATGAATTTGTTTTTATTTTTTTAGGGCAAATTGGATATTCCTAGCCTAATTAAAGGGTAGGTGCAGCCTACAATCAGCCAAAGAATTAAAATAATTTAATTAACTTGAGTCTAGTAATATAAAAAGAGCAAGAATGACTGGAAAAATGGAGATGAGTCTAGACGATATTATCAAGCAAAATAAAGGGAATCGACAACGCAGTGGAGGTAAGCGCACAGGTGGTGGCAGAACCTCCAGTGGCTCACCAAGACGGGGACCAATACGCGGTGGCCGAAAACCTGGCGGTGGTGTTATGCGTGGCCGTAGTCGTGGTGGTATCTCCAGAAGTGGCTCAAACTTTGGCCGTTCGTTACCCAGCTATAAACGTGAAGCTTTTCTTGGAAGCAGTGCTCCACGCAGATATGGCTCAAATTCAGATACAACTAAATTGATCGTGTCGAATTTAGATTTTGGTGTAACTGACTCAGACATACTAGAATTGTTCGGTGAATTTGGACCTCTCAAGTCAGCTGGAGTACATTATGACAGATCTGGTCGATCCCTTGGTTCAGCCGATCTAATTTTTGAAAGGCGAGCTGATGCAATTAAGGTTAGTATTATTCTTATGCTTATGCTATTCTTATAAATTAGATATTTTTATCAAAAATTAAAGAAACAAAAAAAAGAACATCAATTAAAGAAAACTTACATTTCTTCATAAATTAACAAATAATATTTTTCTGAAACAAATATTTTATTTAAGATGATTATACTTTTGCCCATAATCAATTTATTATATTTAATTGTTTTTAATATTAACGCTTTAATCATTGTTTATTTATTTTATAAATTAAACAAAAATATTTAAAATAACTTAATTCGTAATAACGAATAACATTTTTAAATACTCAATACCTATGCTACGGGTATATAAATTAATTTTAATTTTAAATTATTTAAATTAAAATAATTTTATCCACATGATTTTCCAGAATTATCTAGTATTTATTCATTAATGTAATGGACTAATCTATTGCTAAATGAAGATCTTTATTATTGCTAATTTATAAATAATCTTTAAGTATTTATATTTTTAATATAAGAATTGTAGTTATTTTGTTTATAATAATAATAATAATATAGTATAGATTAAAAATAAAAATTTATAATATTGTTATCTTGAATAATGTGAGTTTAAATAAGCATAATAAATCTTACATTTTATCATTAGACTATTTGTGATAGGTTATGGAAATGTGAAAAAAATATTTTTCATGTTTAATAGAATTAGTTAATGATATTAATTTTGAATACTCAGTTAAGGTAAGTATTTTTATTTCTTTCAAAAATTATTATAAGATCAAAAGGTATTAAATTTTTTAAATGAATTCATTTTCATTTGAAATTAAATGTGCTTTTAAAAGATGTTTGTAATTTACAAGTAGAGGATAAATTATTGGATAATTTGGAGCAATAATAAAGTATGGAACTCGTTCGTTAAAAAGTTTGTCATTTTTGTTTTTAGGCGATGAAGCAGTACAATGGCGTCCCTCTTGACGGTCGTGAAATGAACATTCAACTTGCCACGTCTGAGATCCCAGGCATTAATCCAATTCGAGGTGGCTCAAGACTCGGCAGTAACTTTAAGTCGAGAGGTCCCATGAACCGCAGCCGAGCGTCGCGGGGTGCACCTTCCAACAAAAATCGTGGCCCATCGAAACGTGGCGTGAAAGCCAGTGGAGGTCGTCAAGCCAAAAAACCACCACCCACCGCAGAAGAACTTGACGCCCAACTAGAGGAATACGTCAAGAGCAAAGTTTCAAATTCCGACGGCGCATAAACATTTAGCTCTTTTTTTATGTAGTAGAAGGGTGAAGCGTTTTAAAGAATCAATTATTTGATTATCATTTACAGATTCTGATATACATAATTAGATGCGTATCCATTCATAAGGAAAAAAAAAATTCAATAAAATATTAGATTCATAACGCGTAATGTTTATACATTGGTAAAAGATAATCAAATGATTGCCTGTTATAACTACTACATAAGAAAGGGAATTAGTATTACGTCACTGATTTCATAAATATTTGTATGAAATTTATTTCATGTTTTCTTTTTAATAACTTACTTTGGATCGTTATTGACCTGTGTTTAATGTGTATGCGATTCAATGACTACCATTCCTTCAATGTAATTTCTTATTGATCCACAAACAACTTTGTATTAGAAATTTAATATGACTTTGACTATCTCTGATATAATTTAATACAATATTTAAATCAATTTAATATGGATAAGCAAAACGTTATTTAAAAACAAAATAAAAATAATTTTTTTTATGTGCAATTATGTCTTCTAATTATATTCTATTATCATTTTTTATTGTAAATAAATTTGAAGAAAAATAATCACACTTTCAAGTATAAAACATTTATAATATTAAATGAACACTTTAATACTGATTAACAAAGTTATTTTTAATCTATGTATTCTGTGGACAGAATTTTTCATATCTAAATTAATAAAATTAAAATTGAAAAAAGTTTTACTTTACAATATTTGTATATTTATTTTAAAAAGTCAATTAGACTAGATGATGAATTTTGATAAAGTCTAATAATATAAAATAGAATATATTTTATTTAAAATTATAGTAATGGTTGTGCATAAGTAATTAATGAAAAATTAATTGTATTAATCGATATTCAGAAATTTATTAATTCAATTAAATATCGACGAATTCTGAGAATCTGTACAGTAATGTACTACTTGCTGTATGAAAATGGACAATGGCACTAATAGCAAGTATTATTTTTGTCTGAAATATTGAAATTTTCGTGTGACATTATTCAAATAATATTAACTGAGTTCTTGTACATTGTTAAAATTAATTTGATAAATAAAGATTATTTCTCCATTATTTAAATAACATTTTTTCAGTAATTTGACACTATGAAAGAACCTTAATACAATGAATCAATATTAAAAATTAATTTATACAATTGTTCCAATATGAAAATTAATTTTAAAAAAAAGTATGTATGTATATAATTAATTTATGCTATATTTATTTGAAACTTCGATTAACGAAATCGTGATAACTATCAAAACTAATTTTTTAATTGTAATATAATACTTCGACGATTGAAAATACAGCGCTAGACAGTGGACGATAGAGTTGCGCGTAATGCGTTTTTTACTTCGTGTTTATTTTTTTTAACCAATTGTTTTATATTCAAAGTTAGTGATACGCACATTGCAAATTTCTATTCCAATAAACAAAAGGAAGGGTTATTTATTTTCATACCTAGTGAGTACTAACTTGGGCATGCGCTTTAAAAGTTTTTTTTTTATAATCATTTCTTTATCCATTAAAAATCGAACCCAACTGAAATGTATACGTTCTTTATCTAATTAATAATGAATATACGTATTAAAACTTTCTTTCAGCGCATCATAATTGATTTTCTCTATCTGTAACTACAAAGCTTTAGTTTTTAATTTGAAATTTTTTTAAATATTCACTACCAACAAGTTTTTGCGAAAATGTAAATTCTTTAATATGCAGAAATACGAAGAAGAATAAGGTTAAAATTTAATAATATGAAAGTTAATAAGTAGTTGATTATAGTGATATTTATACTAAATGCTGCAGTAAATTTTATACAATGTTGATGAATTCGAAATATGCGCGATGGACAAAAACTTTGTTGTCTATTCAAGCTCGTGTGCTTTATTCATCTCAGTGCGAACAGTTAGTTGTAAAGAGATACACCGATACTATTTTGTTGCCTAAAACAAACTTTCAGGCAAAGATTACTGGAAAAAAACGTATTGATAAGGACCAATATTTACAGAATGTAAGCAATGATTTTATTGTTTAAATAATGTAGATATTTTATAATAATGCAATCTATTTTAAACTTAATGAAAGCAGTAGTCATTGATCTATCGTATTGGCATGAATAAATTAATAATTTTAAATTGTGCTATTGTAATAACATGTAGATTATTTTATTATATTAATATTTATTATATTATATTTTAGAAATGTGGATTTTCAGAATTGTATAATTGGCAAAGAGCAAACTTAAAAGGTCCTGACTTTGTACTTCATGATGGTCCACCATATGCAAATGGAGATGTTCATATCGGTCATGCAATCAATAAAGTAATAAATAAATTCTATTGCTATTTGATTTTTTTTTATTTTTCATTCTTATTTTATTATTTATTTTACATGCATTCTTTTTTATATAATTATAATTTGAAGCTTAATTTAAGCTTTATTTTTAATGTATATAGATATTAAAGGACATAACTATTAGAAGTAAAGTCATTAATGGCCAAAGAGTACATTATGTTCCTGGCTGGGATTGTCATGGATTACCAATTGAATATAAAGCGTTAAGTTTAGTAAAAGAAAAATATGCGAGTTTAAGTCCTACCGAGATAAGATCTATAGGTAAATTAATAATCTTGATATATATCATTCCTTGTTTTTGTTTGTTACTTGTTTATTTTATTTAATAAATTATTTATTTAAAAAGTAACTTATAATAGAATATATGATTGATCAAATATGTACACATAATTATTGTTGAATTTATTGTTGAAATTTTATTTCAAATTAATAACTAAAAATTTCAATGAATATATAGTAACATTATAATATAATATTTTTATAAAATATTCTTGCTATTGAGGGTGTAACTTGATTCTATTTGTTCTCAGCACATACATTTGCTACAAATACTATTAATAAGCAAAGACAAGTTTTTGCTTCATGGGGTATTATGGCTGATTGGAAAAATAATGGATGTTATTTCACTAATCAAACCTCATTTATTATAAATCAACTACATCAATTTTATAATTTGTATGAAAAGAAATTGATATATCAAGATTTCAAACCTGTTTATTGGTCTCCTTCGTCTAAGTATATCTCAATTTTATAAATCTTTTTATCTTAATTTATAAGGTAAACTCTTACATTTAATATTTTAATATTGTGGATATTAGAACAGCACTCGCAGAAGCTGAATTAGAATACAAACATAATCATGAAAGTAAATCTGTAATAATTCGTCTTCGCTTGGTGGATTTACCATCAAAATTGATTACTTTTGAAGGAAAACCACTTTATGCTCTCGCTTGGACAACTACTCCTTGGACTTTAGTTTCAAATCAAGCTTTGTCTTATTCTCCTAATATTATTTATTGTCTAGCTGAACATAGCGAAGGAAATTTTTATGTAGTTGCAGAACCATTAATAGAAGATATTAGTAAAAAAATTGGACCACTCACCGTTGTTACAACGTTTTCTGGTGTATATTTGATTTATTTACTTATTTGTTGTAGATCTATTGGATCATTATACTTGAAATTATTAAAAAATAATTTTTCAATTCCAAATATTTGACATTATTATATTACACTAATTTTACTTTATATTTATTTAATATTCTATAAAAGATACAATTATTTATAAATAGGAAATGACTTAAATAGTGCCAAATATTTGCATCCAATAACTGGTGACACATTAAATTTTTTGCCATCGAGTCATGTGAATGCAGATCAAGGTACAGGTTTAATTCATACTGCTCCTGCACATTCGCACGAAGATTTTCTTGTTGGACTGGAAAATCATTTATCTGTTGTAAGTGTGAATGTTTTTACAAAATTTTTAAATTAAAAACATTGCAATTTGCAATTCATATTTTCTCAGTTAAAAAGCTTATTATGAATATATGTATTTTACATATTAATTCATTTATTATCATTTTAGTAATTGCTTGTTATTTCGAAGATTGCATATAATTTTAAATAATATAATAATATTTTAAAATTGGATAAAATCGACTTAAAATAAAATTTTTAAATATATACAACTTAATCAACTATTTGTAGGTGTCCCTTGTTGATGAAGAAGGAAAATATAAATCTGAGGCAGGTTCTCAATTTCATGGTTTAAAGGTTTTAGAAGAAGGAACTGAAGCAGTTCTCTCACAAATTAGTCAGAATATTATTCATACTGAAACAATTGTTCATAGTTATCCGTATGACTGGAGGACAAAAAAGCCTGTAATAGTTCGTGCCAGTCTTCAGTGGTTTATTGATACAGAATCAATTAAAGAAAAAGCTTTGGTAAATAGTTTAAAAGTTCAATCTGTTTATATATTATTTATTACATATTATATATTAAATAATGGAAAATAATCAACAGTTGTACTGTCAAAGCAAATATATAAATAGTAAATTTTATGAATTTTTTCTTATAAATGTTTCAAAATGTATTATACTTTACTGTCTAAAATAGGAAGTAGCAGAAAGGATTAATGTATTTCCTGAACAATATAAATTATTATGGATCAATTCTTTCCTCACTCAATTGAAAAAACGACCTTATTGGTGTATTTCTCGTCAACGAGTTTGGGGCACTCCTATACCTGTTCTGTATAATAAGGATACTAACCAAATTTTTACTAATCGGTATGCTTACTTACCTAATTTTCGTTTCACTTTTAATTTATGTGCATAAATTTTTCATTTTAAGTTTTAACTTCATATTTTAATTATAAATACTATAAATTTATATAATTTTAGTGAATTCATTGGAAATTTATGCAAATTAATAGAAAAATATGGTGTTGATTGCTGGTGGGAGCTACCAGTAGAGAAACTCGTAGGGAAAAAACTTTTTTCAGAATTAAATGGTTCTGAAGGAAATTTGGAAAAAGGCAAGGTAAAGTTAATCATTTACTTGATTCAGTATAGAAAATGTATTTTTTTTACGTAAATTTAAGAATTATTGGAACTATTATATTTATTATTTTAATAATTTTATATTTAATCTAAATTTCATGTATCTTAGGATATAATGGATATATGGTTTGATAGTGGAATTTCATGGTCTTTTGTATTACCTAATAAAGAAGCGAACGTTTATATGGAAGGAATGGATCAATTGACAGGATGGTTTCAAGCATCTCTACTTACATCTGTAGCTTTGCAGGGTTCTTCTCCTTACCAGTATGTGAAACCTGAAAGTCACATTTTACATCATGTGAAATTTTTTTAATACAATTACTTAGAATAACAAAATTGAACGTAATATTATTATTGATATTATTATTATTATTACTATTATTATTATTATTAAGATGATTATTCATTTTATAAGAAATCTAATAAACGGAAAATAACTATAATTACAGAGATGTATTCATTCATGGATTTGCTGTAGATGAGAATAAAAACAAAATGTCTAAATCTATTGGTAATATTATACATCCAGAAGAGATAACTAAAGGAGGAACTGACCTAAATAAAAAACCACCCTATGGAGTCGATGTTTTAAGGTACAGTGGAGGAAAATAAAAATGTATCAATTTAATATCAATGATATTTATTAATAAATGTATTAAAATTTTTTTTATGAAATATGATGTTAAATCTTTTAATTAAAAAAATGAATGACAAAAAATGTGTATTTTACAACAGGTGGTGGATAGCTAGTCATGCAACTCAACACCGACTTATACCAATAAAGCGTACTTCATTGCAAGAAAGTGTAGATGAAATCCATAAATTTCGTTTAGTTTTCAGATTTCTTTTAGGCGTTTTGCACACCTATGATAAGAGCAAAAGCGTAACTGAGCCTCTCTATAATAATTTGGATAAGTATATGTTGCATCAACTCTATCATTTCCATTTAAATGTAATTCTTGAAAATTTAATTATAAAATATTAATATATTTAACATATGTAAATCTTATTTATGATAAAAAATTTTTAGATTAATTCACTTTATGAAAAATATCAATATCATAATGTTAGTAATGCAATTGTCAACTTTATAACCAATGATGTTTCGTCTATTTACTGTCATCTAATAAAGGATAGAATTTATTGTGAAAAGATTGACTCACCATTCAGATTAGGTGCTTTAGACGTTATTGGTGAAGTTTTGGCTGTTAGTGTTAGATCTATAGCACCTATAATGCCTCATTTAGCAGAAGAAGTTTGGCTTCATCATCCAGAAAATCTCAGTGAGTCAATGCAATATATACAAAATATTTCTATTTTAATCATAAGTCATTTATAATATTTATAATGCATATAATTATGTGAAAGAATAAGTGTATTAATTTTAGCTATATTAATTTAACTATATCAATTATGTTAGATACGTGTCTGTGCATATGTATTATAAAAGAGAAAAATAATGAGACGATCTTTCTTAGGAATGAAACATCTGTATGAAGTTAAAAGCTGGTTGACTCAAAATCTAGCAGTGTACTATTTTTTAGTGCAGACATACTGTACATTTAATTCAATGCCGATTTAGCAGTTCTAACATTTTCCAAGAACCTTGTTGCCCTACAATAAAATCGGCTTTAATTAAGGCCGATTCTTACATTTGCGATCCATCACAGTTTTAGAGCCACAATAGGTTTAGAAAAATAGATGTAACGAGAGTGATGTTGAGATGTACGAATGCTACAAACACTACCTTAGAATCAGTCAACTGTCACTCAGTCATTCAAATATTGCCAACTTTTCTAACTGAGGATTACTCCACCTACCACTTCTGTCACTGAATTGAGAAAATTTCATTTTGAAGATCGGTTATTTTATGATATTCACTACAAACATTTCTCTATACTGCTGAATATTCAAGAAGCGTACGCACCATTAACACATTGTTTTATCAAATGTCAATTTTATCGTATGTGTTTGTCACATACATAATCTTGATATCTCTGTTCACTGGAAATATAGATACTTTCAGTGAGTTTAGATCATCGCATTTATCGCATCGTTGGATGCGTTTTTGCTTCCTTACAAGAGTTCCTCACAAGTTCATTTTACTCGTTACATTTAACTCGATTGATTCTTTTATATTCTTAACGAAATCTGAATATTAGCAAAAACTTGTTCTATTGTACCAATTACCTGTTCAATTCTCTGACTAAACATGCCACTTGTTTTAACTGCAAATTTAACTGTAATGAGTTTATTGCGATTGAGCTTATTTATATAATTCTTGTTCCAATTATTATTATGCTATTAACTTAAGATCTTAATTTTACAATTTTACTTTTTGAATCTCTCAAATTTTTATTAATATTACGCTTTGCTTTTCTGCGTTCGTTTATCCTGCTTCTCTATTTACACTTTGTAATCAAATCCTATATTTTTTATCTTTTTTTATAAGCGGATGGGGAGGGGGATACCAAAATTTGTCGACAATAATTTTTTTGTCGCTGTTGTGATCACAACCCATGTATATATTAAAGAAGATATAAAAGCTCGACGAGAAGTTAAATTAATAGATCTATGGAACAGCTCCAAGAAATCAAATGTTCCATCGGAAAATTGTATCGTTAATAATAAATAAATACGAAGGACACATTTATATTGTTGATCATCGAGTGAGTGAATGAGTGAGAGGGGGAAGGAAGGAGCAAAAAAATAACATCTATTTTACTTGTTACAAAATATACATACATATCAATAGTGTAAAATCTAGAATAGCAATATAACTGTTATTTTGATCTATTCTTCTTCTTCTTTTTCTTATATTTTTCCATATCAAAAATTTGTTTAAATAGATTAATTGAATTAATAAAAGTACGTAATTTTAATAAAAAAAGTTTAGTAATTTACAATTACATGCTTATAAAAAGAAAATTCAATTTTTAGCATCTGCTCCATTATTTCATGCAAATTTTAAATTGCTTGAGAGTTGGAATAAACCAGAAATTAAAATACTTATTGATAAAGCACTGGAGTTACGAAATCAGATAAACAAGCAGAATGTTCTTAATTCGTGGACTATAAAAGCTACTATTAAAACCAATGCAGAGAACTTCAAATTATTGTCTGTTAGTATATTTATATTTTTGTATATTTTAGAATTCTTACGTTAGAATTCTTAATTAAGTATTGTTTACTAAATGTTAAGTATTTTTTAGCTGTTGCACGAACATGAAACGAGTTCAACATCTGAACTTTGTGATATTTGTCAACTTTCTTCGATTACTCTTTTGAATGATGAGTCATGTAGTAATTTTAATATTACTTTAGAACCTACTGACAAACTACTTTGTAAAAGATGTCGAAGGCATTTAGAATCCGATTTTGACGAACTTTGTAATCGGTGTATCGAAATTCTGAACACCGCTTAATTTACAAATATAAGTCAATTATACAAATATAGTATTTGTGTTTGATTATTTTTGTGTAAAAGAAGATAAGAAGATGGCATAAAAGCGCAAAAATATTTAATGTATAAAAATCTTTTTTATTGTGAGCGTTTTTCTACATTAATAATTTGACAGCATGATTGTACATATATATGTATATAATGTAATAAAATCATTACTTTAAACTAATTGTATTTAAAATTATTCTCCCTTTATATTAGGTAATAGCTTTAAAGATTATCCGAATAAAATATAATTATAATAGTTCGTGAATAAATAAATTTATTTGTTAATTTTTTAATTTTTCCCAATTTATAATTTATTTTATGTTTGTAAATACTATAATTTCAGATGTTGTATATAGTAGATGACTAATTAAGTTATAGATATGCATTGCGGCAGAAATTCACTAATGTACACGCGTAAATTTGGCAATTGAAATACTAGCTGTCATTAATTTTTGAGAGAAGTGATAGTTAAATAATGGGATGCTACTATAACGAGTTGTGAAAACAAGGATAATGAAGTAAATTTTTTTAGAATACTTGCGAATGGGAGAAACAAAAAAACATAATGTTGTCTTATAACAAAGAAAATGAATAAGCGATTGCTTTCAAAATTGAAATCAATTACGCTTATAAGCCACGATCCAAATTCCGTTACATAGAATAAATACGCCAGACTTAACGCATTTTTCTTCTCAATGAAATTGACTAAGCTTACTTTACTACAAATAAATAGTATAATTATATAAATAAATATACAAATAACAAGTAATAAACAATTTTAGATTTTTAGGATATGTATTGAGTGAAGGTGCTAATTTGAATAATGCTAATTCAAATGAAATTGTTATCAATACGATTATGAGGTGAGCCGGATTAAGAAAAACGTCGAAAAAAAATTGAAAAAAATCGAATTTCAACTTAATCTCTATTGGTATGGATTAATTGAAAATACTTATAGAAAATATGTTATGTAAAGAATAAGTTAGAAAAGAGAAGCAATTTCGTTACATAACTATCAATAAATGTTATATGTACATACATTCATGTTAAATTGTATTAATATTAAATGCACATCAATAGAATACAAGAAATAAAAGTCATAAAATAAAAATATGTATAAATGTATTTACGAAAAAGTATCGACGGATAAAATTCAATTATTTAATTATAAGCATAATCGTTAATGTATTCTCATATGGGGATGAAAACATTGAAATAAATTCTAAAAAAGATATGGATAACGTAAATGATAGTTAAGGAAAAATCGAGAAATAACTACTTGTAACAGTAACAATTCAATTAATAATATTTCTCTGGATAAATTTGTTTAAGATTGAAGAACCTACTATTTGAGTCTGTTTATAAATGTTTGTGCATTTTAAATTGAACTTCTGCCACGGGGAAAACTGCAGTATATGAGCTTATCAGCTGATCAATCGTTTCCTACTGTTACGGATTGGAGCAGCTAAAAGCGGAATACAAAAGTGGGAGAGGTACAAGCTTCCAGTCATTTACATTTATAAACACAAGTCAGCGAATTCGGGAAATTTCCTCCGCCAAAAACTCGAATTTACAATTATAATGCCGAATAGTACTGCCGATGAACCTTCCAAGGCTATATACTACTGACGTCACGACAAAGATCGGCATAGCAACAAACACCGGTGCGCTATCGGCATCGCAAGCTCTTATGAAAATATTTAAGAGCAGCGCTTGACGCGCAGCTCCACTGTCCCAGTAATAATTATGCAATCACCGCGACGGGCTCACTATTCAATCTTCAAGCTTCACACTACAGTCATCACACACTGTAGCGATACACAAAGCTTCGGTACGACAGCGGCGGCTCTTACGCACCGACACTAAAGCAGCAGCGAACCGGTCTCCTTTAGAAAGCTTCGGTACAACCCGGTCTCCTTTAAAAAGCTTTGGTACGACCCGGTCTCCTTTAGAAAGCTTCGGTACGACAGCGGCGGCTCTCGCATGCTACTATAGCGGCACTACTCGGAAGGAAAGGAGTCACGCCTCACATCACGGAGAGTACACACACTATCTAAACCAAGAAAGAAAAGCCAATAAACACTGCATGTAGAATTGAATAATTGCATTACCCTTTCAACTTGCTAGCAACACCTCCACCCAACATCAACGGGAGGTTTCTAGTCTGATCCCAGACACCTACTCTGATGTAAAGCATCAATGATTATATTGCACGTGCTTTCATGATTTTATTGATTGACTGATCCGATAATAACTATGTAATTCAAATTAATATACTATGAAAAATCTGGTAAAATTATATAGAAATGGAGCGAGAACATAAACAATATCATTGATGATAGATAAATGATGGTGCGAAAACGAAAGGATGAGAGATATCGATAAATATTAGAGCGGCACAAACGAAATTACGATCATTCTTAGACTCCAAATAACGTTTCAAAAATAATCATTGCAAAAATTGATTATTAAATTATTCAGTTTAATAAAATGAACGAGTTATTAAATCTTAAAAGTTAAAAGTATGAAATATAAATAGCAACATCAGAAATGATGACGTGCACACGTAATAGCAAGTATCAATTTAATTAAATTAGAAAGAATCTATGATACATTCACATTACATCATCGAAATTATCACTGAGAATATGCTTTCAGCCTAAGGTATATTTATAATTTATATATTTATATATAAAATAATTTTAATTTACATATTTATATATAAAAATTAATGCTTATAGCATATATTTAATGAGCATTTAATCGAATTTATTACTAACTTTCATTATTCACGATTTGTGCATAAAAGACAACTTAATATTCTACATTTCGCAAAATATAATATTTGAAGAAAAGTACATTAGAATGTCAACTATAAATTCGATGCTTTTACAAATAAATTTGTAATTCCAATTTTTATCTACCCTACTTAATTATACAGATTGTAATAATAATTATTAAAATGTTTCTTCGCTTATTTTCTGTAATACTTTGTACATTGATGCTGTTCATAGTTGCTGTAAGTATTATAGACACGTTACGAAAAAATGAAAAAAATTAAATCCTTAATTAAAATCTTGGCCAATAATTACAAACGGATAAATTATAACTATGCAGAGTAAAATAAAATAATATTAAAATATAAATAGAAAAAATATGTTTCTTTGTCACGATAGAAATTATTCGAAATATATGTAATCATAGAAACTTTTTTCTATTAGAAATTATATACAAATTATTTTTATTTTTGCACTTAATTAGTTGTATCAAGATATACTACAATCCAGTCTTTTTATTTTCAGTCGTTTAAAATAAATTTGAAATATTTTATTGCACTATTGTTATTGTATTATAGAATGCTGAAACAAATTTCGATATTCTTAAAAGAAATTTCAAAACATGGAGTGACAAATGTGTGGAAGCTATGGTACAACGAACCAATCGTGCATGTCATAATTGGGGAACTGGAGAGGCGGCACTTGTTAATTGTGCGGTAAATTATAAAATTTTACTTATATCCTGTATTTTCATGTATTTTCATTGCAACATATATTAATTTTGTTATTGTATTATAGACATCGTATTATGGAACACATAAACCAGAAGCATGTAATTAACAACATAAATAATGATGCTAGTATTTTCAATTATTATATGTATATTATTCAAATAAAATAAATATAACGAAAAAGAATTCTAATCTAATTTAATATATATAGATTTAAAGAACTATTCGTTAACAATTAAAGTTAGAACTTTGAGCGTAATTATAAATCTTAATTTTATTATAATCAAACTTAAACTAATAAAAAATGCATTAAAATTTTCCATTTATATAATCAGCAATCTTATAAAAATGATTTTATTTTTAACTAAAGTCGAATAAAAATTCCATTAAATTTGTCAATTTTTGAAAAATCTAACGCGGAAAGCTGAATATTTAATATCGAAAATTAATCTTATAAAATGTATTATAAAAAAGCATATATATATATATATATATATATATATATATATACAGATATGTATAACAATGATAACGAGACTATTATTAAATGAATTTAAATTTATTTAAAAAGAAAAATAAATAAATTTTATATAATATTTGTAATATTTGTTTTTGAAATGTATAAATGTGGAGCATAGAAAATAGTGAGACTAATGAATATAATAATTACATAAAATATTTTTCTTTTTGTTATATTTTATTTAAATAAAAATAACGGTTAAATAAAATATACTAACAATTTGTTATGCTTCATAAAATATCTAGTAAACAATACTTTATCCTTAGTATCTTAAAAATTAACTATTAATTCAAATGATATTTATATAAAAATATGACTCTAGAGAATACCGGTGTCGGTATCAAAAACAACAGTTAATGTTTCATTAAATTCTTTCTAATATTGCTTATACGTAAAATGTTACAGGCATATAACAAAGAAAGTATAGACACTTAAATAAATATATTGAAGAAATATTTAAAAAAAGATATTAAGGTTATAAAAATAAACCTCAGTGTTAGTTTCCAGATATAAAATAGCTTATATAAAAACAATATTACAAACTTCAAATTCTTTGTATCCTATAACCTAGTCACGAAAATTCATTTGTTGACATATTCTAGATTATCACTAGACTATTACATATTCTAGATAGATTACTAGATATCTTAGATGTTAATTCAAATATTTCAATAAAAATATTTATTATTTAATCATCAAACATGCATTATAGCTGAATTTTACATTTTGATTATCAAATAAGTTAATTATCAAAAAGTAATTAGAATTTTTTATAATTTTAAGTCAAATATTTAAGGTTTCCATTTATTTCGCTTTAATTTTTTAATTTTTTACGTAGGTAATAATATGGCAGGTTATATATATATATATCTGTCTGTATACAATTATTTTTCAATTTTTGAAAATCACACGTCTTAACAATGCACTACAGGTTACTGCGAGTCAAAGGGTTGATTTTTTGTATATTTGCGTTTTTCAGTATTATTGTGAGTATTCATTATTCTATAAAATCTATATCATCTATTAAAAAAATTTACTATTATATTTTTATTATTTTATGAAAGTTATTTTAGAATATAAGAAAAAATAAGAAAAATTATATCCTTATTGAAAGTTTTCTGTAAATAAAATTTACTTTATAGTAAAAAATATACATAAAATTGATTATAAAATTGTACTATTTTATTACTTTAGAATAAATAAATAATTAAATTAATAAAAATAAAATTATTTATGGAAATATATATCTATGAAAAATATCCTATTCTATAGTGGCACCATATAAACGAAAATTTTTATATATTTTTTGAAACTTTATATATATTAAAATATATAAAATTTATATATATTAAATGTTATAAATCATAAAATGTATATAAACTAAAAATTTTAAAGTAAATAACAATATAAATATCATATTATAATTCGTATATAATAGAATTAAAATTTTTGAACAAATGTTAATTGCAAATTTTTTTTCCAATTACACGGACTAATGCATTTATTTTCTGTTATTATATATGATAATAAAAAACTTCGCAAAAACTTATGATAATTTCACAACTATTCAATAACAATAATATGTAAAATAATATGTAAAATATTTTAAATTATAATAAAAATTGCCCAAAATTGCAATTGTTTTTGCACTTTCTCTTTATTTTTTATTTTAATATCATCTCGAAGTCCTATAATTTTACAATAAAATCCATATCAGTCTATATTTTTATAAAATCTTATAACGTCATATATAATGATATGATATGATCCAATCTCTATGATTTTATTGCAGAGTGCTGAATCAAATTTCGATATTCTTAAAAGAAATTTTCCAGAATGGAGTGATAGATGTGTGGAAGCTATGGTACAACTTACCAATCGTGCATGTCATAATTGGGGAACTGGAGAGGCGGCACTTGTTAATTGTGCGGTAAATTATAAAATTTTACTTATATCCTGTATTTTCATGTATTTTCATTGCAACATATATTAATTTTGTTATTGTATTATAGACATCGTATTATGGAACACATAAACCAACAGTGTGCCCGTAATGGAATATATTCTAACAGCAACAATTAAAATGATTATTAAATTAATAAAATTTATCTTTATCCATACTACGAATGCAAAAATTACAGTATTTGCACATAGAAATGTGATATAAAATCCCCAAAAATTATATGATTTTGAAATTATCATTTTATCTGTTTGTATAAATAATAATTTTTTTAATAATAAAATGTTTTCAATTATTTTTGAAATTATAATATATTTTGTATAATGTATAGAACTTTTGACCAACTCTTCGTGTTTATTTTAATTATATGAGTATAATTCAAACCAGGTTTCAAAAACAATATGTTAAAAGTATTGATTAAATTGTAAAGTGATTGATATTTTCATTATTATTCGATATCATATTTTCTTGAAGATTAAAAATGTATAAAAATGTAGTTGACTATTTTTCGTGTATACTAAATACTATTTACTTAATTTACATATAAAGAAAGACGTGTGTTTAAAGGTTTATATTATATAATTTAATTTTATTGTTTATAAATTTAATTATACATGATCTTATAACAGAATGAAGGTTGAAGAAGATGTATGTATAGTATGGAATAGTAAAAAATATTGAGCTACTTTTTAGATACATACAAATATAAAACATTTCACATTTTATTTCATGTATTTTTAAGAATATTTATCAAGTATAAATTCATTTCATTCCAAAAGTGTGACGTTGTTTAACACAATACTTTTAAAATTATAATATAATATGATAGATCAAAAATACACAACTAAGCATTTCGAATGAAAATGAATGGTAAAGAATTGTAAATTAATTTAAAACCTGTTATCAAGTAATTATATCAATTTTTACACTATTATAGTAATATTTGGACTCGTTAATGTTTTAAATCGTAAAAAAATATAATAATTTATGTAAAGATAATATTTCATGTAATAAATCAATATATAATTACAATACAAATTTACGTTAAGAACTCTTACTTTACATTTTTAAATAATCCTACCTAAGATAATACATTAAATATTTTAATTATATTGGTTATAAATAAAATGACTAAATAAGTCTTATAAATCAACAATTAAATAATAAGAATAATATGATAATACAACCACAAACAGTTAATTTATAACATTTTAAGATATGTCTATAAAGTCTATAAAAAAATCTATAAAAAATTTAAAAATGGGCAAAATTAAATTTTTATTAACCATGAATAAAAAAATTAAAACTTTACAATTATTAATTGCAGTGACATTTTTAGAAACAATAATAATATTCTGTACGGCAATAAAAACAAATGGAAGTTTTTTTTAAATAAGATGAATATGATAACTCAATATATAATGTAGGAAATTTAAATCTGACAATTAATTACATTTTAAATAGTGATCAGAAACATTGCAGATTACAGCAGAATAATTTTTAGCAAATATTTAATATTTGCACTTTTTAATTTATAAAATTCACAAACAGATGATAAGAAAGATAAATGCTCCGATATATATATATATACATATATATACCTAAATATATATATGAGATCAAATATCTATATGAACAAATCTTAATTCTTATTTATTGAAATTATTCATATGTGAAAAGGCATCACATAATTTTCATTTTTGTTCAACTTCATTATTAAGGTACTTTTATTGTATAATATTTTCATAAGTACTAACTCAAATACATTTTTCTTATAATATTAAGAAATAATGAATATAACAACATTAATATTATTTAAAATCTGAATATGAAAAAATATATATTACAAATTATTTTACATGCCTTTCTTCTTTTTCATTAAAATACAAATATTAAAAATAATATTACCATACGAGAATATATCTTTTTAATAACAATATTAATAATAAAATAATTACTAAATTCAATAGATATATTATATACATGAAATACATATTCTATCAATACATAGTATATAAATAATTATCTTTGAAAAACAAAAACATTTTCAAAAATTTCGTATAATGTATATTATAGAATATTTATAGTAATTAATAAATAATATATAAGCCTTTTAATTTTATTTTCGCATTTATCTAGATCACAGAAAATTACGAAAATGTTTACCCGCATTTGTCTTTTAACACTTTCCGTATTATCACTATTGGTGATTGTAGTAAGTAGGATTTAAATATATATATATATATATATAAGCGAATTAAATTTATTTTACAAATTAATTACACGACTTTAAAAGCAACATTAGATAAAAGAAAATAATCGTATATAATAAATTAAATGAATTAAAGTTTATATAATTTTAATTGCAGAACGCTCAATCCCCTGCCGATATTATTAGAAATGCAATTCCGAATTTAAGTGAAAAATGTATTAATACTCTTATTACTCTTTGCAATTTTGTCAAAAACGACAAGAAGCAACTCATTTATTGTGCAGTAAGTTACATCGATCGATCTCATTAAAATAAATATTTATCGCAGCATATTAATATACTTTCATATGAAATTCTCGTAGAAGGGGACATTGGCATCCCGTGTACCTGACGAATGCCGTTAGAGCAAGAAACTTCGAAATCGATCTATATCTGTTCTTAAAGTAATTATAAAATGAATCATTATTAGGTTCTGTAAGTATGTATAAATAAATACATATAAAGTTACAATAACAAATAGTATGATTTTTATTAATTACACAATCTGGATATTAAACTATTGGTATTTTTAATAATTTATGGTTAATAAAATTTTTTTATAACAGGTACGTTAACATAAAAATATCATATACTCTTCCAACTTTGATATCTTAGACATTGATAAAAATGCACATTCGTAATATAATGAACAAAGATTTTTTGCCTGACTTATTTGTTATTGATAATTTATTAAATAGATATACAAAAGCATAAAATATTTTCAAATTAATATTCATAACCGATTAATGCGGCATTGTTAAGTCACGTTTACTTTCTGTCCTGCATCGCAGGGTTAACTATAAATACAAGATTTTATGAATAAATGCTAATATTGAATTGTTTAGTCTCGAAGTCAGTACTAATAATAGCAAAAATGCTTTTACGCGTGTACCTTTTGGCGCTTTGTGCTTCCATGTTATTTTACATTGTTGTAAGTATTCATGGGATTGAAAAGAAATATTTAAGATTATTAGCTATACTTAATACTTAACGACTCATTTCGGAATAATAATTAATAAAGATACATTAAGTTATTTATTTTAATGTATTATGAAATTATTCTGTTATTACCAATTCCGAATTGTTTTATAAATTTACATAGATTCGTAAAACTTTAATAATACTTTAAAACTACTTAAATAAAATACGCGCGTAAAGCATTCATATGCCGACGAATAAAAATACGCATTCTTTTTCGAATCGGAGAATGAGAGAGTGGAAGAGAGAGAGAGAGAGAGAGAGAGAATGTGAAATCTCGTAAAATTTTCTGCGTCTCTGGGCTTTACAAGCGGTATGTCTTATCACTCAGGGTGAGCGTCCCGTTAACCCGATTCCATTAGTTGTTATTTTAGTGGTGCAACTGACGAATTGTTAGTTAATATCATTAAAATGTGTGTACTGATAATTGCAGAATGCCCAAAATCTATAATTTTTATAATAAAATGCTATTAAGCGTATTTTGAAATATTATTTGTATTGAGAGGCATTATTTTTTCTAAATAATTTACAATACAATTGTGATAAATATTCGTGCAATAATTATATGGTTTTAAGTACATTCTATTAATAGTTTGTGTAAATATGAAAAAATTATTATATTAACAAAATATATATACAATCGATAAAATTCTAAGAAATATATTTCTGAACGTCTTTAATAGATAATATATAATTAATAATATTATGTAATAGATAATAGATAATATATAATATATATTAAATTAAATGTCTTAAGAATAATTCCAAAAAGAAATAAACTATTAAAAGTACATAATTCAATGAACGATTCAAAAATGCCATTAATTTAATTAATTTCACCTTTTTTTTTAGTTTTTAATTTTTTGAATCAAGAAATAGAATACCAGCTTTTTGCGGAAGAACTTGCATAAAAAGAACTTGTTAATACTACATTTTTCATTTCTTAGATGAAACATATAACTATTTTAATTAATAAATCGTAATAGTTAATGAAATTATTAACGATTACTTCATTAGTGGCCTTTGCGGTCATATAGTTCATTTTCTACTTTACTTAATTTTGTATATTTTGTATTTTTTTAATATAATAAAAGAGTATGAATCAGCCAGATCAATTAAAATTTTATTTTTCCCATCGTCATTATATTTAAAAGTTCTTTTAAATCTCTTTGTAGCTTTAAAATTTAAAGTAGCTTAATGTTTATTAGTTTACTGTCTATATTATTTACATATAAATTACAATAATATTCTTATTTATTTATTATTACATTATCTATTAAAAATAAAAGATTGTTTTAGAAAATAAATATAAAACTCTTATGAATAATTATAATTTTTTGAAAATGTTTAACTTATTTCATAGTATTTTTATTGTATCTATTTTTCTTTATGTTATGCAATGCATAGTATTATACATGTTTAAAAATATTTTAAACGTGAATTTTATAAATAAGTTATATAATTCAGTACATTATTAAGGATTAATAACAAATACATTCGACTTTATTTTATTTCTTTTAATTATCATTTTCAGCATAAAGCATTAAAATTCAATTTCATTTCAATAAAGCATTAAATTTTTGCATTAATTTCAATAATATTTATATTTTATAATATATAATTTATTAATATGTGCAATCATAAGAAAAAATCACGTTTTTTAGGGAAGTCACGTTTAACGTATGAATACAATTTACTTAAATATTTTTCTGCTTTGTTACAAAGTATAAAATGTTGAAAGAAGGTGTATTTTTATTTCAATGATGAAGTAACCCTACAGCTAATTATTAGCTATATAAGAGTTTTCTGATTAATTGTTTAATTAGAATTTCAAAATTTGCAAAAATGTTTTACCGCTTATGTTTTTTAACATTTTCTCTATGTTCATTACTTATTTTTATTGTGAGTATGTATTAAACGTACAAAAGAAAAATAATAATATTTAATTTTTTTGTAACATTCATTTAATTAATATGAATTGATATAAATTCTATATAAATTCTATATAAAATA